GGATTAGGCAATTTTTGAAGTTGAACGTAAGAAGTAACAGTCCTATGCTTTGCCATCTAGATATTTTAAAACAAAAAGATACTCAGCATGGCAGCATCTAAGGCACATGATAGTATATAGAACTAAGTCCTACTTCATCATAGTGGTCCCTAGTCTAGACATCCTCTTTACTCACAGATGTCACAGGACAGTTTACAGCCACCATCACTAAACAGCGATTTACTTGTCGCCCATTATAAATGGCTTCTTTAAGTTCTAGGCCTTTTGAAAAGGAACTCACACCATACTGAATGTGGGAGGAGAGAGGAGGTGTCTGTGGTTCAGGAATGACAGTAAACAGCCATACTGAATGCTCAGTTTCCGTAAGTGCATCTCTATTAGGACCACTGTGGTTGATCTGGACTGACGTGTTGGATGATACATAACAACTGGCATTTTTGTTCAAGACCATCTGGAGTCTGGCTTGAATGAATAAAATGAACTGAGAAAAGATAATGTAAGCTAATATTTGACAAGTTTAAAGTAGTTTGTAACTTACGTCCCATTTCAATCCATATATATGTTTCTGTTTTGTTTTTTTGGCAAGCAAGGCTCATGTAGCATACTTGGATGTGATGAAGCAAACCATTCCACTATCAATAACTTTCTTGATTTTCTTTTTTAAAAGTTGTGAGCAAATACTGATATTTGCTCACTGTTGCAATGTTTATGTATGCATATAATTTATTCATGACCCGACATTCAATGTTTGCCGTTTGTATGTTGTGCTCTGCCCTGAGTCCCCTTCAAAGTGAGAAGGGCAGAATATAAATGTTTTAAATAAACAAATAAATAAAAATAATCGTTGGGGCTAAGATGACATGGTTGATCTTACACTCCAAAAAAGCTAACATCAAGGAGATGAAATGGAAAGTGATGGCTCCCATGTCATACAGGCAATGAATCTGCTGTGTGATTTAGTCTGGCCTTCAGTGGAGCTATGCAAGATGCTGAATCCTCCAAATAGGTCTCATTTGTTGGGGGTGGTGGGAAGGGTTCAGCATTTGAATAGCCCGTTCAAAGTTCAGACTACAACCCAGAGTGGATGCATATGCCCTCTGATAGGGAAGCCATGGACCACCACTGGTATGTGGAGAGATTTAGTATTAGTGTCATAGTGGGACCCAGTTTTGACACTCTCACCCACCTAAGGAACCCATCTGATATCTTTAGCTCACCCTCATTGAGTGAGTTTTGGTGTATCACAATAACGCCTAAAAGTAACATTTTCATTGCTAAAGCAGCAGTACTTTATGTGTCAGGATCCAAACTGCTATGAGGTGTGTACATATTTTTTAAAAAAAATATGTGTAGATAAGCCTTCAGTGATTATGCAACCTACCCAGCCAGATCTACTTCACAGGGGATGCCTGGCTCGACAGCAGTATGTGTGAAAAAGACCTTGGAGTTCTTGTGGACAACAAATTAAACATGAGCCAACAATGTGATGTGGCGGCAAAAAAAGCCAGTGGGATTTTGGCCTCCATAAATAGGAGTCTAGTGTCTAGATCCAAGGAAGTCATGCTACCCCCCTATTCTGCCTTGATCAGACCCCACCTGGAATACTGTGTCCAATTCTGGGCAACGCAATTGACGTGAGATGTTGACAAGCTGGAATGTATCCAGAGAAGGGCAACTAAAATAATTAAAGGTCTGGAGAACAAGCCCTACAAGGAGTGGCTTAAAGAGCTGGGCAAGTTTAGCCTGCAAAAGAGAAGGCTAAGAGGAGACATGATGGCCATGTATAAATATGTGAGGGGAAGTCATAGGGAGAAGGGAGCAAGCTTGTTTTCTGCTGCCCTGGAGACTCGGGTGCAGAATAATGGCTTCAAACTACAGGAAAGGAGATTCCACCTGAACATGAGGAAGAACTTCCTAGAGGCGAGAGCTGTTCAGCAGTGGAACTCTGCCCCAGACTGTGGTGGAGGTTCCTTCTTTGGAGACTTTTAAACGGAGACTGGATGGCCACCTGTAGGGGGTGCTTTAAATGTGATTTTTCTGCTTCTTGGCAGGGGGTTTGACTGGATGGCCCACAAGGTTTCTTTCAAGTCAATAATTCTATGATTCTGGTTATAAAAATAATGTAGGTAGGAAGAGATCCATGTATATTCAGATGAAAATGGATGTAAGTAACGCACACAAGCACAAACATGTAATAAATTAACAGAAGTACTGCTTACACCTCAGAAAGAACAAGTACAACTGTTTTGCAACAGGAAAAAAGAGCATGCAAGAGAATCAAATGGCCTGACAAGTAGGAATGATGTCCATGTTTGCTTGTGCTCTGCCTTTCTGCATAAACTTCTTTCCAGGTGCCAGGACAGCATGGTAAAGCATAAAGCACACAAGTGGAATAAGTTGCAAAGAAAGGGTTAAGTGATTCAGTGGTGGATTCAACTTCAGAGCTCTCATAAAGATCAGTTCCTTGCTGTTTCATCTGGGCACCACATTGTACATACTTCTCTTGTTTATCTAATTTCTTGCTCTTCTCTCTTTTCTGACTGTTGACTTGCTGTATATTTAAGAGCTCCACACAAAAAATTGCATTCTTGGATTTATATGATAACTAAATAAATGACTATTGGACTGCTAGTCATTTTAGGGGCGTCCTATCTAACAAAGTTCAACGCTAGCTAGGGAACCCTGGGAGTGGCAGTGGGGACCATAAGAGAAGGCCGGAAACCTGGCAACAGGATTACAGAGCATGGAGCAACGGCAGCTGAAGAGGGGTCAAGTTCCAGAGAGGTGAAACCTCAGGGTGGGCTCCCGATTTGTCCAGAGAGGAAGCAATAAGGCAGTGATTCTCAGCCTGTGGGTTGGGATACCTGGGGGGGGGGGGGGGGTCAGGAGAAGGTTTCAAAGGGGTTTTGGCAGCTCAGGTGGTGCCAAACTACATCCGAACTCAAGAACAGAAAATGGAAAGTTGGTGGGCAGGAAAAGAGATTTAAAGATGGGCTCAAAGCCAACCTTAAAAACTTTGGCACAGAAACCAAGAACTGGGAAGCCCTGGCACTTGAGCGCTCTAGCTGGAGGTCAGCTGTAACCAGCAGTACTGTAGAACTTGAAGAGGCACGAATGGAGGGTGAAAGAGAGAAATGTGCCAAGAGGAAGGCGTGTCAAGCCAACCCTGACTGGGACCGTTTTCCACCTGGGATGCCCTCACTGCGGAAGAACATGCAGGTCAAGAATAGGGCTCCAGAGTCACCTACGGACCCACCACCAGTACACCGACCTTGGAGGATAATCTTACTCAGACAACGAGGGATCACCTAAGTAACTAAGTAAGTAATATTACATGCAATATAAAATATATAATTATTATATTGTATTATAAGTATTATATTGTATTACATCATAATATTATTATCAATATTATTTGTGTATACAATATATTATAACATTAGCACAGCACAATATTAGTATTATATGTTACTATATTGTTGCTGGTGGGAGGGGCTCCCAACTGATGACCCAGGAGACATGGTGGAACTCTGTCTTCCTGGCTCCCCTTCTTCATTCTGAAGACTGTTCGGAAACTCCAACTACTCCCAATGGGCAGCAGCCAGATTACTAACTGGAGTGACATACAGGGAGCATACCACCCCCTTGCTCTGTCAGCTCCACTGGTCTCCGGTCCATTTCCCAACTCAATTCAAAGTGCTGGTCATGACCTATAAAGCTATATATGGTTCTGGCCCAGCTTACCTCTCCAAACGCATCTCCCTCTACGTCCCACCTCGTAGTTTAAGATCATCGGGGGAGGCCTGCTTTCGCTCCCGCCACCATCACAAATGCATCTGCTGGGGACGAGAGACAGGACCTTCTCAGCTGTGGCCCTCCCCCACCTGTGAAACTCACTTCCCAATGAGATAAGATTGGCCTCATCCTTCCTGTCTTTTAGGAAGAAATTACAATCGTAGTTCTGGGTCCAGCATGCATAATAGCACTTTGGATGCGGAATTCGACTGGAATGGTGATACAGCTGACATTACTGTTTTTATGGTTTTAATTAATGCTTTATTTATTGTCTTAATTGGCGTTTTATTGTATTATTATATGTAATGGCATCCACTTGTTGCCAAGTGTAAGCCGTCCTGAGTCCCCCTTCGGGGGTTGAGAAGGACGAGGTAGAAATGCTAGAAATAAATAAATAAATAAATACAATCATAGAATCATAGAATTGGAAGAGACCTCATGGGCTATCCAGTCCAATCCCCTGCCAAGAAGCAGGAAAATTGCATTCAAAGCACCCCCGACAGATGGCCATCCAGCTTCTCTTTAAAAGCTTCCAAAGAAGGAGCCTCCACTATACTCCAGGGCAGAGAGTTCCACTGTTGAACAGCTCTCACAGTTAGGAAGCTCTTCCTAATGTTCAGGTGGAATCTCCTTTCTTGTAGTTTGAAGCCATTGTTCCATTGTGTCCTAGTCTCCAGGGCGGCAGAAAGGAAGCCTGCTCCCTCCTCCCTATGACTTCCTCTCACATATTTATACATGGCTGTCATGTCTCCTCTCGCCTTCTCTTCTTCAGACTAAACATGCCCAGCTCTTTAAGCCGCTCCTCATAGGGCTTGTTCTCCAGACCCTTGATCATTTTAGTCGCCCTCCTCTGGACACATTCCGGCTTGTCAACACCTCCCTTCAATTGTGGTGCCCAGGGTTGGACACAGTATCCCAGGTGTGGTCTATAAATCGGTGCTGGTAATAATCTAATGTTGACATTACAATTCATAACTGTTGTAAAATTACACTTACGAAGGAGCAACGAGAATAATGTTATGGTGGGGGGGGGGGTCACGACAACATGAGGAACTATATGAAGGGGTCGCAGCATGAGGGAGGTTGAGAACCACTGCGATGATAAGGCGTTGCCTTCTGAAGAGGAGGAGGAGGAGGGGGGGGTTGGAGAGGCGGGGAGGAAGGATGCCTGGCTGTGGGTGCGCCCCATCCAGTCCGGGCCAAGCCTTGCTGCGGCCAGACGGCGCTTCCCTCAGTCCCCACGGGCGGGCTCGGGTGCTTTTTCCGCCCCTTCCCGTTCCGCGCGCCTGTCCGAGGAGAGGATGAGTTGAGCGCGCGGCTGGGCGCGTGGGCCGGGGTCTGGCTGCGGGGCGCAGGATGGGCGCGCGCCTTCGCTCGGGCTGCTACCTGGGGCGCAAGTCGGGCCTCTTCCTGGCGCTGCTCCTGGCGGCGCTGCTGCTGGTCCTGCTAGTGCTGGGCATCCTCCTGGGGCGCTGCTCCCGGGCGCTGAGCCAGGCTTGGAGGGAGCCCGGCCCGGCCACGGCCACGGCCACCCCGCCCGCCGCCAACGCCAGCCAGGGCCCCCCCGAGAGACCCCCGGGGCCCTGGGACCTGCCCCGCCTCCCGCCCCACCTGGCGCCGCTCCACTACCAGCTCCGGCTCTGGCCCCACCTGGCGCCCGGCCTGCCCCACCCGCCGCGCAGCCACAGCGGGCAGGTCAACATCACCGTCCGCTGCCTCCGGGACACCGGCGCCGTCCTGCTCCACGGAGAAGGGCTCGCCTACCAGGAGGTCTCCGTCTGGCAGGACTCTGGCAACGGGAGCGGGCAGCCCGTCCCGGTGGAGGAGCGCTGGGAGGTGCCGGCCAGGCAGTACCTGGTGCTCCAGCTGCGCCGCAACCTCCGCGCCGGCGCCCACTACACGCTCCGCTTCGCCTTCACGGGAAAGGTCTACGCGGGAACCCATCTCCACGGGCTCTTCCTCAACACCTACCGCGACCAAGGGCAGAACAGGTAGGGCTCATGGGGACCCCGCCCGGGCCTGCCCCCGCTCCCCCCTCTCCGCTCCTTCCTCCCACCTGGCTCCCCCCCGGAACTCTGACTGCTTTGGAGGTATCTAGGGAAGGTTGGATATGCCTCATGGGACAACCTGGAGGTGCGATTTGGAGAATCTTGGGATAGTTGGATATAGATACCAGCGCACCATGGAGATGGAGCTGAGGTATCTTGAAGATGAGATATCTTGGGATAGTTGGATAAGTAAATACCTTGGAGATGGGATATGGAATATCTTGGGATAGTTGGATATGGATAACAGGTCACCTTGGAAATGGATTTGGGGTATCTTAGAGATGAGATATCTTGTGCCAGTAGGCAGGCCTGTAGCGAGGGGGTGGTTTTAGGGGTTCAACCCCCCCCCCCCCCCCCCGAAATGTTTCAGATTTTTTTTAAAAAACCTGGTTTACTCATGAATTTTAACTGGTTAACCAAATCCCCATGCTAAGTCTATGAGATGCAAAAAATTAAGAGTCTCCTCCAGAACTGCAAGCACTATCTCAAGCAAATATTGACAATTTATTCACACTGTCATTACTTGCAGCAATAGCCGATGTAGTGAAGCAACCAAGTTGGGTGTGTGTGTGTTGAATGCTCTCATTAAGGAGGCCAGACTTGGTGGAGGTGGTTGACAGGGGCGGAGCTGCAGGCTATTGAAGGCTGCTCTGCCCCCTGCTGTGCTCTTTGCTTCAGTGTGAGCTAGGAGGCAGGTTTCAACCCCCCCCCCTTGAAATTTTCAAAACCCCTCCCGAATTTTCACCCCCCCAAAATCCCCCCTGAAATTTTCAACCCTCCCCGAAATTTTTTTCTGGCTACGGCCCTGCCAGTAGGATATACTTAACGAAATAAATTGGAGATGGGATTTGGAATTTCAGGGGATAATTGGATATAGATAACAGGACACCTTGGAAATGGGATTTAAAGCTGAGGTATCTTGGAGATGATATATCTTGGGCTAGTTGGATATACATAAGGAGATACCTTGGAGATGGGATTTGGAGCATCGTGCAATAGTTGAATATAGATAATAGGACACCTTGGTGATGGAGCTGAGGTATCTTGGAGATGAGATATTTTGTGCTAGTTGGATATACATAACAAGATACCTTGCAGATGGGATTTGGAGTATCTTGGGATAGTTGGATATAAGGAGATGTTGGAGATGGAGCTGGGGTATCTTGGAGATGAGATATCTTGTGCTAGTTGGATATACATAGATATCTTGGAGATGGGATTTGGAGTATCTTGGGATAGTTGGATATAGATAATAGGACACTTTGGAGATGGAGTTGAGGTATCTTGGAGATGAGCTATCTTGGGCTAGTTGAATAAGTAAATACCTTAGAGATGGTATTTGTAGTATCTTGGGATGGTTGGATATGGACACCTTGGAAATGGAATTGAGAAATCTTGGAGATGAGCTATCCTGTGCTAGTTGGATATACATAATGAGATACCTTGGATATGGGATTTGGAACATCTTGGGATAGTTGGATATAGATAATAGGACACCTTGGAGATGGAGATAAGATATCTTGGAGATGAGATATCTTGTGCTAGTTGGATATACATAATGAGATACCTTGGAGATGGGATTTGGAACATCTTGGGATAGTTGGATATAGATAATAGGACACCTTGGAGATGGAGATAAGATATCTTGGAGATGAGATATATTGTGCTAGTTGGATATACATAATGAGATACCTTGGAGATGGAATTTGGAGTATCTTGGGATAGTTGGATATAGATAATGGGACACCTTGGATATGGAGCTGAGGTATCTTGGAGATGAGATATCTTGGGATAATTGGATATATAGCAAGATACCTTGGAGGTGGGATTGGGAGATAAGTTATCTTAGGATAGTTGGATATGCATCATGGGATATCTTGGAGATGGGATTTGGAGTGGAGGTATCTTGGGATAGTTGGATATACATCATAAAATAAACACAAATATTCATGTCTCCATAGACACATAGCCTGAAGATTATTTTGTACACAATGTTTAAGACAAACAATAGCATTAATTGCAGTATAATGAAAAGATAAAGAAATACAAAGGATAAAGAATAGGCAAAATATAGCGAATTTTACAAGGAAGCTCTGTATTAAATGCAATGTGCCTATTGATGTGAGGAACACATCATATATTTTTTTTCCATTCATGAAGAACTGGCACTGTATGTGTCCATTGATCAGTCTTTCTTTCTTTCTTTCTTTCTTTCTTTCTTTCTTAGCTTTTGGCTTTGAATATGTTTGTCTTCCAACCCCTACATTGACAGCATAACTTCTTTTTTTTTGAATTCAGCAAAACACAGTTCTCTTTTGCTAGATTTTGCAAAGAGGGTGTTTCCTCACCAAGCTGCTGTGTTGATGTTACAGCTGGCCCACAAAATAACCAAACATGCTTGCAGTCTACAAAATGGGGAGAGGGGTTAACAGATATGTTCATACCATTCATTCCTGCCTTCCAGTCCTTCTTGCCTTTGGTTTGTGCTGTTCTCCCTCCTTTTACCTATCTGTTAGGGATCAACTGTGGAACTCAGCAGGAAGATGACTTTTGGGAAAGTGGCAGGAAGCAGGAGAGATTTGTTTTTACTATGAAGTCCTTATTTTTCTTTTCTCATTTGTTACATATGTGCTTCATTCCTCTCCTCCCACCCCACCTTTTAAGGAATTCAGCCTGCTTGGACTCTGCAAATGGTCTCAGTCAAATAGCATTGATTCTTCATCAGTATACATAATAACATACTGACACTGGCAACTTTGAAATGGGAAATATAAAAATCCTTCCAAATTTATGTGCACAAGCAATGCTAGCACAATTCTTTTTTGGCTTTTCACTTTAAAAAATATTTTAGATCATTACTTGGTATTTCTTAGGTCATACCAGTCTTTAGTATATATGCAATCCCCAAGTTATGAACAAGATAGATTCTGTAAGTTTATTCTCAAGTTGAGTTTATATGTAAGTCGGAACAGGTACATTTTTAAAGTGTAACTCCAGCCTGCCTCCCTCCCTCCCTCCCTCCCTCCCTCCCTCCCTCCCTCCCCTGTCCCCTCTCTTTCTATATATCTTTGGATAATATAGGGAAAGGTTAATACCCCTGTGGTGTTTGTTTTGCTGTCTGTGTCCCTGTTCAGAAGATTTCACCTCACTTTATGTCCCTGATAGTTGGATTTCGAAAAAATTGGCTTCTTGTGAAAACAAGGATTGGTGATAAAGCTTCACCTTTCCCCCTGATAGCTCCTTCAGGAGTGAACTTCCCTTCCAAGGGGTCACTCTCTCACTTCCTGTTGTCTCACCCCTATGCTTAATTATAAGTCATTTGTAAGTCGGATGTTTGAAACTTGGGGACTGCCTGTATATATCTTTTTTAGACGCTGTCTTGGAAATTGTACCAATGAATTAGAACAGAATGTTTTATCAGAATTTCCTTTCATTTGTGCAATTATCAATTAGCCCTGAGAGCCACAAAGGCCAGTGCTGGCAACTAGAGCTAACATTTTTGAGCAATTTCTAAGGCCCACAAGAAGTTGAGTTATCATTGGAGACTGTCAGAATAACCTGGTTCAAGCATATCATGGCTCCATTGGGTCAAACTGGACCAATGGTTCAAAAATTGGAAAGGAACGAGCTCGGGGGGGGGGGGGGAAGAGAACCAACGAAATTTGAAAATATAATATTAAAAGGTTAAAGAAGAAAATAAGCATCAAAAAGGGATAACAAGTATGATATACAAAATATTAATACAGATTAAAGGGGGAGAAAAGGGATGCAAACAAGGGAACTGTGGGATGAAGAATTGGGAATGAAAATAGGAGAAATAAATTGGGAAAAATTATGGAGAGCAAGACACCTTAGGAATTTATCAATTAGAATAAAAGAAAACTACTACAAGATGGTATGGAAATGATATTTGACCCTGACAACGTTACACAATATGGATAAGAGTTGTTCAGAAAAATGTTGGAGGGGTTGCCAAGAATGGAGTACGTATATCCACATGTGGAAATAAAAATATGTACAGAGGTTCTGGGGGAAAGTTATAGCAGAAATAGAAAGTATTATGAAGAAAAAAAATAATATAAATCCAGTGACTATACTGTTATCTATTTATAATACAGATGAATGGAAGGAAAATGAAAAGAATCTGATAACAATGTTGTTAATGGCTGCAAGGTTACTAATAGCAAAATCTTGGAAAGAGGTGGAAATTAAGATAGAAGAATGGTACAAGGGCATTTGGAAATTAGCAATAAATGATAAACTAACACGCAATCTAAAGGTTAAAAAAGGCCTAAGGAAGGAAAATGTTTTTGAAAGTATATGGAAAATATTTATTGAAGAAATGTTAAGGAAAGAAGATGGGAACCACCCCCTACCAGAAGAAATGAGGTTCTGGTGGGAGCATAAAGAAAAAAAAGAACTTCGGAGATGGGGAGCTCAAGGGGTAGCACAACAGGGTAAATGAGAAAAAGTAATTATATGAATTGTAGAGATTGTTTTTGTAATAAAATTAATAGAAAGGCAATAGAATTTTTTTTAAAAAAAATGAATCATCTGGCTCTGCTGTCCTTCTTTGTTGCTGCTGCCACTTGGAGAAGGAGCTGCATTAACTTTTGCCTGCTTTTCCTTCTCTTAGTGGGACAGGTTGCATTCTCAAATCATTGCTGACAATGGCAATGAGGAGAGCTCACTCAGGGAAGGGCACTTGCTCAAAGTCTTCTCAAAATCCGACATGCAAGAGGTTTGGTGGGATATGCTGAAGAATGGATAGTGGATATAAGCTAGTTATGGACACATGGGAAAGACTAGTAGTGCATTGTATCTATTTTTTTCTGTCTGTAAGTGAAAATGGGAGAACAGAGGTGTTCTGTAATGGAAGAGACAACATAGGTGGGGAATCTCAGACTGTGGGACAAATCTGGCCTATGAGGCTGGCTCAACTGGCATATAAGATCTCAGATGGGGCTCTGTGTCATCAAAACAATGCCAGTGAAGGGCTCTGAGTGTTGCAGACTGATGACATCTGGAATACCAAGAGTTAGTCAGGCTGATCTCAATCAAATGTTTGAAGCATCTTTTTGCTACAATTTTTCTTTTAGTCTATTTTTTTTCTTTTCAGTCTAAATTAAGCCTTTGCACAAGTTTTATTGAATGTTCCCAATAGGGCTGTACATGTATTCATTTCCTAAAATGGGATTTGACTGATTCAGTTTTTTCATTTTGCTATAAATGAAAAGGGCAGCATGAGTTTTTTTCTCCCCTGCCACAACAAATAATGTGGTGCTGGAATCCATGTGATTTCACCTGTATTTAGATTTCCAAAGGGAACCTCATGGGGTGCAGAGAAGCAGCCATTATGCCCACGGAGTTTCCCGTTGCCTCTGCTGTCTGAGCCCATCTCAAGAAGGAACTGTCTCGCATGTCTTCTTTTCAAGCTGGGTCTATAAATACCCGAGAGTGCTCTTCCATTTTCCAGTCATATCCTGGCTGTGTAAGAGAGAGGTTGGGTTTTTCCAGTGCTCTGCTCCTCTCTCTGCTTTGCTTTTGTTTTTTTGCTTGGCTTGCACTCATTTTCATTGCCTTAGCTGCTTTAGATCATTTTTTGCCTTAGCTGCTTTGGATTGCATTTTGCCATCATTTCAGTCCTCCATTTCCCCTTATTTTGCTAGGAAGTTCAGAGTGGGTGTATTGTTTGGGCTGTTTTAAAAGGTTTTTTGTTGTTGTTTCTTTAAGGCTTAACTATGCATTTTATATGTTTTTAACTTTGTAATTAATCAATGTATTTATTTGCTTAACTGTTTTAATCATTTAATTGATGGAATATATTTTATGGCTGCATTTTAAGTGGCATTGAATTTTGCCAGAGCTATGAGTTGCCTTGAGTTCCCCAATGGGGTGAAAAGCAAATAAATAAACAAATAAATAAACAACTTTGCATTGGGGGGTGGTAAAGGGAAGGGAGGGGTCAGGGGATAGCCTTGCTCCCCAATGAGATAAGTTCTTCCAATCTCTTTTCCATTTCTCCCCAGCCCTATCTATCTTGCTGCTTGTACTCTGCCCTGTATCTTCCTTTTCCCATAAAAATATATTTTAAAAATATATTTAAAAAGCCTTCTCCTGCACCTCTTTGACTCTCTGATTTCTTTCCTCCACTGCCATACTTGTCTGGGCTTGTGTGCCCCTGCTGCCCCAGTTCATCTGGCTTGTCTCCCTGTGTGTGAATGTATCCTTGGGTGGCTTCTACCTATCTGCCCCACTGCACCAGTCTAGCAGTAGCAGCCTTCCTCATTTCAAACACTTAAAAAAAATAAACAAAGCCCTTGGAAGTTGTTTGTAATATTCACATCTTTGACTTACTCTTTCTCTCTGCCTTGTTGCTGATCCTCCCTGTGTAGACATTCCAGGAGGTAGAAAGATGAACTTTGTGGTTATTTTAAAGGTTTGGGAGAAAGTTGGGATGCAAATAAATAAGTTTCTGGGGAACTGCACACAAGGTACTGTCTTTGGGGTATGCAGTGATGGAAGAAGATTACTAAATTGAACCTTATTCACCTTGTTAATTTAGAACACTGATTGCATCACAACTAGAACCATTAGATGCAAGGAGAGTTTATCCATGCTTTGATGAACCTGCTCTGAAAGCTACCTTTAACATAAGCATTGTCCATCATCCAAGTTATGTAGCACTTTCCAACATGCCAGCTATAGGTAAGTCAAGAGATGTGGATCATAGATCCAGTAGGATGGTAACAGTATATTCCTATTAGTATTGTGGTTACTATTATGTTGCTAGAGTCAGGATGATAAAAGCCAAGATGTCTGGTCACCTAGGTTCCTAAAATGTGAAGTTGGTATCTAGAAATGTGAATAATTTTGTTTATACTACTATAGGTATTGTTGTTGTCATAGTCTTCCTTTGCTTGTCTTGCCAGGTGTTTTATCTATTTATTCTTTATTTATATGTAAATATTTATATACCTATCCTATAAAAACAGTGTGTCAAACATCACTCTTCCAAGGGATGGGACAGTCATTTCACCTCCCTATTTCCCAATTCACTTGGTGAAGTTTTCTACATGTGTTAGTACAACTTTGCTGCCTATTAGCAGACAGTCAGTGTGGAAAATTGTGAAGCCTCTTCCCTTGGCAGAACTCTCAATTTAATCAGGAATTGCTGTCTCAGATTTGATGGCTATTGAGAATGGGAATTTATGAGGAAACTCATCTTTTGTTTATTCTCACAATAGCTTGAAGTGGGAAATGAAATCTACACAAATAAAGATACTTCAATGGGATCTTGAACATCACTTGACATTTCTGGAGTTGTTCTTATTATCCCAACAGCTTGATACTCTGAATAGCACGTTTAAGTGGTCCTGAAGGAACAAGTGATTCTGAAAGTCTTTTTAAATCTGGCATCCAACTTCGTATGGAAGGGCAAGAGTCCCAGGAATTCAGTATTTGTAGATTACCAACAGGGTCCAATTAAATTCACAACTCTCTGCCAGTAATACTGCAAATTACAACTTCTGACATCTAGACAGAGAGAAAGACTTAGAGTTTGAGTCATTTGTTCAGATTTTTTTGGAAGTTTAATTCAGTAAACAAGCAAATGCATTCAATTAATTTTTCTTTTTTACATCCAGTCACTATGCAATATGCTGTGATTTGTGCACCTTTATAGGAGAGAGAGAGATACCGAAAATCCTTTAGAGCAGTGGTTCCCAACCTTTTCCAAGTTGCAACCTCATTTTATAGAGGCAAAGTGACCTGCAAACCCAATACAGGCTTTTTATAGGGTAAATGAAAACATATTGAAAATAGATTTTTCGGTATAGTATAATACAAAATAGGAGACCCCAGTGGCGCAGTGGGTCAAAGCACTGAGCTGCTGATCTTGTTGACCTAAAGGTCGCAGGTTCGAATCCGGGGAGCGGCATGAGCTTCTGCTGTCAGCCCCAGCTTCTGCCAACCTAGCAGTTCGAAAACATGAGTAAATCAGTAGGTACCGCTCTGGCAGGAAGGTAACAGCGCTCCATGCAGTCATGCCGGCCGCATGAACTTGGAGGTATCTACGGACAACGCCAGCTATTTGGCTTAGAAATAGAGATGAGTACTACCCCCCAGAGTCGGACACGACTGGACCTAATGTCAGGGAAAACCTTTACCTTTACCTTATAATACAAAATAATGTTAATATATGACATATTTCATATGATCATTGAAATTGTAACTCATTAAGAAACTCAAAAATTTGTGGTTGAGTTTTTGTTAATGCCAGTGTTGCACTCCAGTCCTGGAAAGACCTATGACCACCACACCACACTGTTTCACCTCAGCAGGAGTTCACAGCACTTACCAAAAAACCAAATGTGGTAATAAACAGTTTATTGATAAAAACCCATATAAAAAGGGCCAAAGGCACCTTAAGCAAATAGAAGGGTAAAAATCTAAGAGTTAATCAAGGAAGAATGTCCCAAAGGCAATAGATAAATCCAGGAAACAATGGTTAAAACATGAACATTAATCAAAGAAAAAAGGAGCAAAACATGGGCATGAATCCAAAGGTAAATCCATAAAACAAGGAGCCAGACTTGGGTCTTGAAATAAGGCATGAACTAGGAACAAGATAGGAATTCCTCACTCCAGTAGTGACGTTGCTTGATCTAAAATTCTAACAGCTGTCTCACTAATTTAAGGACTGCAAAACATGAACACATTCCTTTGACCTTGAAAGGCCTGCTTCTGCCTCTCTTTCTCACGGATTTTCCTGCACCTGAATCTCTGCCCCCTCAGAAGCAGCCTGGTATCTCTGTCTAAGCCAGTTGCTTTCTCGGATGAGCTAATGTTATTCTCCCCCTCCATACCTGTTGAATTCCAAAGCAGTTCCATTTTCACACTTTGTCTCAGCAACAGCATCTTGCTCCAAAACCCCCTCCATTTCCTCAGCATCAGAACCATCTTGCTCTAAAACCCGCTCTATTTGCTCACCTACAGAACCATCAGGCCCTGGACCCCCAAATCCCTCATTTTTATCTGGCTGAACCACAACACACACTAGAATCCAAGAATATAAGCAAACAGTGTTTTATATGTTTATTGTAAAACATATAAAAAGCATATAAAATGAGGAATAAGAGAAGAAAATATATAATTCAAAAAGGTTTAGCAACAGGTGATAACCAGACGATAATCCAGGAACAGCCAGAAATTACAACATAAATCTACAATCCAGTATATATAACTCGTAAAAAGTGAACAGGAATACATGAACAGGAACAAGAGAACTCAGACTTAGCTTCTCACTCTAACACAGAATTGCCTGAACTGACCTGAAGGTAAAAAAAAATGTCATTTAATAGACACCCATGAAATCATTTAGTTTCCTGTGAATTTCTTTCACGACTTTCCCACATAATCTCTCTGAACAACGTAATCTATTTTCAGCTCTGTTTTGTAAACAAAGACTTTTGTTGATCTCCGTAGCTCCAGATGGGTTTATTTATTTATTTATTTATTTATTATTTACAGCTTTTATATTCCATCCTTCTCACCCTGCAGGGGACTCAGGGCGGATTACAGTGTACACATATATGGCAAACATTCAATGCCAATTTTGACATACAACATACAACATATACAGACATAGACAGAGGCTATTTAACTTTTTCTGGCTGCCAGGGGAGCTGTCGCTTTCATCGTCCATCTGTGACACTGATGAAGTACTTCCGCATTCCCCACATGCTTTTTGCTGGAGTGCTTGCCGGAGTCCTTTTTTATGCCCTCATAAATTAGTTAATTTAAGCCTCCCCACACTTTAAGGTCGTACCTAATTTTCCTACTTGACAGATGCAACTCTTTCGGGTTGCAAAGGTCGACAGCAGGCTACACAATTGGTTGGAAACCCACTCCAACCCGGGCTGGCTTTGAACTCATGACCTTTTGGTCAGAGTGATCTTAATGCAGCTGACACTCAGCCAGCTGCGCCACAATCCCGGATTCTCCTGGGAACCTTCCTTATCACTCAGCTCTTCACTTGATTCCTTATCTGCTGTTGCTACTTCTAACTCCCCTGAATGCGCTTGAGGCCCTGCATTTTCCGAGCCAGTTTTCTCACACAAAGAACCATCATTTCCCAGACTTGAACTTCCCAGACTTGAGAGCCCATCACTTTGTGCCACAGGAAAGCTCACAATCTTCTCTAAATCATCAGTTAAACCACCAGTCTCTGGTTGATCTACAACAGCCAGCCTCATGTCATTCTCAACATCTAATCTGTTTCTTCTTTTGGATTTCAGTTGATGAAGTGACCAATGGGTTAGGAACCACTGCTTTAGACAAATGGGAAAAGCATGATTTATACATATCGAGCCAAACCTATCATTTAGACAGAAGGCATAAACTTGATATTAATATCTCCTGTATTCTTTTTTATAGATGTGTCTGAATATAAGGATGTGAATGACAGCACACTGAGTTCATTGTTAAATGAGACTACGTCAATTAATTGGACAGTCACAACATTTGCAATGACACCAAAAATGTCCACATACATCACTGCTTTTGTGATCTGTCAGTTTGATCATGTCACCACAACTGAGAGGGGCAAGGAGGTGAATATGTCTGTTGAACTTATGATAGACACTTGCTGTTGTGCTTGGGTTTTGTTATGTGTCATTTATTTTTACTTATTTTGGAAGGTTTGAAGATCAATTCAGGGAGTGATGTGGTTTTTAACTTTGAATTTGTTTTAAGGATTTTTGACTGGGAATTTTAATTATTGTTTATACTTAAACCTGTTTTAATTTTCGCATGTTTGTATATTTTAAATTGTTATGCTGATATTTTTATGCTAAGCTGTTTTGCATCATCTCCAGGGGAAATATAGCAGGGTACAAATAATGATGATGATGATGATGATAATTATTATTATTTTGCGTTGTCGAAGGCTTTCATGGCCAGAATCACTGGGTTGCTGTAAGTTTTCCGGGCCGTATGGCCATATTGCAGAATCATTCTCTCCTGACATTTCACCCAAATCAATGGCAGGCATCCTCAGAGGTTGTGAGGTCTTTTGGAAACTAGGCAAGTGGGATTTATATATCTGTGGAATGTCCATGGTGGGAGAAAGAAGTCTTGTCTGCATGAGGCAAGTGTGAAATTTGCAATTGGCCACCTTGATTAGCATTGAATAGCCTTGCAGCTTCAAAGCCTGACTTCTTCCAACCTCTGAGGATGCCTGCCATAGATGTGGGCAAAATGTCAGGAGAGAATGCTTCTGGAACATGGCCATAAAACCCAGAAAATTCACAAATAATAATAATTTTAGCCACTCAGAAGACTTTAAATTGATGACGCAGGATACTCATATTGTAAAGGTATGCAAGTACAAATGGTATAAAGTTATTATACTTTTAAAGTTTTTTCTTTGTGCTTTATGTGTGAGTGTATGCGTACATACGCAAACATACAGCCATCTATTTCCTGTCTATAATTGAAAGATTTTTTGGATGCAGTGTAAGCTATTTCTGATTTGGACTGAAATGGAGAAAAATTAGGTGGGGGGAGTTGTACCTTAATCTTCATTAATTGTGTTTATAATAATGTAATTCTTGAAAATTAATTTCCTCAGTATTTTTCACTTCACTTGACGCCAAATCAGAAATAGTTTACATAATACCTGGACTTGCTTAAGTCCAACATCAGCTGGAATATGAAGCAAGATTTTGTACACACAGAAAACAATTTTATCTGTATCTTGGTAAACCACACATTTTTTTAAAAAAAATAAGCCATTTAAATTATAAATCAGCAGACTATAAAGGAGGAAAATATGGTTACCCATGAAGAATAAAGCAGTTGGATCTGTTGTCTAAAGTATAACAAAGTTGAAAAACGTCTATACACAAGAGAAATATTTCAAAGTAGAAAATGCATGTAAAAATCCGTAGTCTTCTGTTTAGAAGAGACTTAATATAGAATAGATTCTTGTTTGTTGCCCAAAATAACAATTTATGTGCATTTTGGTAGATTCGCATTTGGGCTGCAAAAGATTCAATTCGGAAGGGATTAGCTGACTATGCTTTAAATATCACTGGACCAATATTTTCATTTATGGAAGATTTATTTAACATCAGTTATCCTCTTCCAAAAACAGGTATGTGTGTGCTTAGAGGTATATGTATGTGTGTGCATGCACGTGTTGCGTATCGATATCTGTGGCCATCTGTTGGGGGTGCTTTGAATTAGATTTTCCTGCTTCTTGGCAGGGGGTTGGACTGGATGGCCCATGAGGTCTCTTCCAACTCTATGATTCCATGGGCCCTTCCACACAGCCATATAACCCAGAATATCAAGGCAGAAAATCCTACAATATCTGCTTTGAACTGGGTTATCTGAGTCCACACTGCCATATATTCCAGTTCAAAGCAGATAATGTGGGATTTTAATTCAACAGTGTGGAAGGGGCCTTTGATTCTCTGACATATGGTGATTCCATCAATTTCACAAGATTTCTGTTGGCAACAAATACTCAGACGTGTTTTTGACTATTCCTTCCTCTGAACAATGGCCTACACAACTGATATTTGGTAATGCTCTCCCCACCAAGTACTAACCAGAGAAGACTCTGCTTAGCTTCCAAGGTCAGATAGGATCTAGGATATTTAGTACCACGCACGCACACGCGCACGCACACACTTCCAAAGATCTTAAAATGTTTGGAAGCTTCTAAAAATGATTGGATTTTGTAATCATGTAGTATTTATATGAAAATGAATGAGACATAGTAGAGATGTCTGGAGCCCCCAGTGGTGCAGTGGGTTAAACCGCTAAGCTGCTGAACTTGCTGACTGAAAGGTCACAGGTTTGAATCCAGGGAGCGGTGTGAGCTCCCGCTGTTAGCCCTAGCTTCTGCCAACCTAGTAGTTTGAAAACATGCAAATGTGAGTAGATCAATAGGTACAATTCCAGTGGAAAGGTGACAGCGCTCCATGCAGTCTTGCCGGCCACATGACCTTGGAGGTGTCTATGGACAACACCAGTTCTTTGGTTTAGGAATGGAGATGAGTACCAACCTCCAGAGTTGGACATGACTGGACTTAATGTCAGGAGAAGACTTTTACCTTTACCTTGGAGATGTCTAAAATTATCAGTCTCAAACTTAGAAATTTGGAAAGTTTCTTAGGTTCCTTCCACACAGCCATATAACCCTGAATATCAAGTCAGATAATCCACAATATCTGCTTTGAACTGGGTTATCTTATACTTCCATATAATCCAATTCAATGTGGATTTTATATAGCTGTGTGGAAGGGGCCTAAGAAGGAAAGTAGATGTACCCCTTTAACTTGAACTAGCTGGAGTTTTTTCTGTTTTTATATGCGTTTCTGATCTCATGTGTCTGATGAGAATATAGAAAGAATTAGAAAAACACATTTATTTGCAGGGGAAAAAACACAGTGAAATTTCCCAATAGTCGTCTTAATGTTGTGTTACTGTCAATCATTGAAAATCTTAGTAGATTGCATGGCAAATGGAGAAAGTGAAATATGCAATGATCAAATCCTTTTTCCCTCTCGGTTTAAACTAATTTAGATTTAATTGCACTACCTGACATGGATGCTGGTGCGATGGAAAACTGGGGACTAATGACTTTCCGGGATACATCTTTACTGTACAACCCCAAAGATAAAAACACCAGATGGAAAAGAAGGGTGACTCAGATTGTTTCCCATGAGATAGGACACCAGGCATGTGGTAAAATGTTCTGTACTTTTATTCATCTTTAAAATAAAGTTAGCATTTCCTAATTTACTGTAGCTGTTCTATTGAAATGTAACATTAATCACAACATTAATCCTATATCCCTGGATCTGATCCAGATTTTCTTCTTTGAACTGGATTATATGCACTTACACTCCCAGATAATCTGGGAATAGCAAATAATCAGGGATCAGGTCCTGGGATATAGGGAAATGTATATCTAGCCATAGATTGGAAAACTAACAAAATCAATTTCAACAGAGAGAAATGTGAGGTATTGCAGCTAAGTAGGAAAAAAATGAAATGCACAAATATAGAATGGGTGATAAATGGCTTAAGAGCTGGCTAAGTGAAAAGGATCTAGGGTCTTGGGCCCCTTCTACACTGCCATATAATTTAAATTATCAAAGCAGATAATCCACATTCTCTGCTTTGAATGGAATCATCTGAGTCTACACTGCCATATAATCCAGTTCAAAGCAGATAATCTGGATTTTATGCAGCTCCGTAGAAGGGGCCTTAGTGGATCACAAAGTAATCCTCGGTCAGTATTCTGGTACAGCAGCCAAACCCCTAGTGCTATTCTGGGCTTCATCAGGATTGCACTAGGTATAGTATCAAGATTGAGGAAAGTAGTGGTGCCTCTCTATTCTGCTTGGATCCGGCTTCATCTAGAATCCTGTGTCCAGTTCTGGGTCCCACATTTCAAGAAGGATCAACAAGCTGGTTTGTGTCCCAAGAAGGATGACCAAGATGATCTTAGATCTGGAAACTTAGGGCCCTTCCGTACAGCCATATAACCCAGAATATCAAGGCAGATAATCCACAATATCTGCTTTGAACCGGATTATCTGAGTCCACACTGCCATATAACCCAGTTCAATATGGATTTTATAAAGCTGTGTGCAAGGGGCCTTAGCCTTATGAAGACTGATTTAGGGAACTGTATACAGTTTAGAGTAATAACATGATTTCTATCTGTCATAGAAGAATATGAATTAGAATAATAATCAATAGATTCAAATTCTAAGGAAAGAGATTCTACCTAAATATCTAGGAAAAACATGTTGTTGTTTTTTTTTTACTGTAAACACTGTTTGCTTGGAAGGTGCTGGATTCTCCATAGCTGGATATCTTTAAACATGAGCATCTTTCAGATGAGCATCTGGATGAGCATCTTTCAGAGTGCTTTGGTTGTGTGTTCCTGATTGGTGGGTGTTGGACTAGATGGCCCTCATGGTTACTTCCAACACTAAGATTCTACGGTGCTATAATCTATTTAATACATAATTAAGTCTGAGAATAAGAATAAGATAAGATGGAAACCATCAAGTCTGAAGCTTGGCGAGAATTGTATTTAGAAATCCAGACTTGGTATTTCTGTCTTGAATTGCCTGAATAATGTTTTATCAGTTTTCTAAAGCTTTGATTGTGCATTTCCTGCATGATAGGGGGTTGAACTGAATGGCTTGTATGGTCTCTTCTTACTCTATGATTTTATCATTCCATGAAATTCCTGACAACCGATAGATATTACAGCAATGTATGTGTAATCACGAAGTATGTATGTGCCAGCACACTGTAGCTGCTCCCAAATGAAGACACAGGATGCTTCTGGTATCAATGGAAACTTTACTACAGGAATCATTGACATACGAAAAGCTGAGAGTGCCAGGCAGTGGTTAGCACTCTCTTATATACCCTCCCCCACATTCAAAGATACAATTCCCACCGAGGGAAAACCCCGCCAAATCCACCCGCCAAATCCATCGGCCGTTTCCTCTCAGGGTCAGTTGTTGCAGGTGCCTTATCAGTGTTCAATGTCAGTGACCCTGATTCCTGGTGCCAGAATCCCTGAAAACTGGGTCCTGACATGTATGTATGTATACATGTAAAGCTAATCTGCCTTACCAAAAGAATGAGAAAAAGATTTTGAAATAATTTATTTAAATACTTTTTCTGTCCTTATTTTTAAGTGGTTTGGAAACCTAGTTACCATGGAATGGTGGAATGACCTGTGGCTTAATGAGGGATTTGCCACATATTTTGAGCATCTAGGGGCACATCACATTGATTCCTCAGTGTCACTGGTAGGTATGAACTAAGTCAACATTTTTTTTACATATGTACAATACACATCTATAATATAAATGTTTTGTTTTCAGTGTTTTGAAGTTGCTGGGAACTGTTTGGCAAGGTGTTGCCAGTATGCCTTGCTTCTTGCTAACTGCTGGTACTGATTCTGCCTTTTTTCTGCTGCTGCGACTACTTCCTCCTACTAGACCAGCCATGGGCAAACTTCACCCTCCAGGTGTTTTGGACAATTCCTAAAACATCTGGTAGGCTGTTAGGAATTGTCGAAGTTGTAGTCTAAAACACCTGGAGGGTGAAGTTTGCCCATGCCTGGTCTAGATGCAACTTGTAGAACTTCATCTTACTGTTTTATATCATCTTTAAGGAAACAAGTCCCAAAGATCAAACTTTTTCCCAGTGGTCTTGAACTTTTGCATCATGACCATTAATGTCCAGCAAGTGCTAATTCTAGTGTATTATAGGGAGGGAGAAGAAATTTGCATTAATTAAGATTTTATCTAATTCATAGACTGTCAGACTATTAATGAAAGTGTAATATGGATCTTTCAGTTTCATATTATCAGAAGAAAACTGCAAAACTCTTTTCCTCCCCTGCTTTTTATATGTGATACAATATGCATAATTTACAAAGTATTTAGACAAAGATTAAAATGCATACATTAGAAAATTCTGTAAACATGTGTAAAGGTAAAGATAAAGGTAAAGGTAAAGGTTTTCCCTTAACATTAAGTCTAGTTGGGTCCAACTCAGGGGGATGGTGCTCACCTCTATCTCTAAGCCAAAGAGGCAGCATTGTCCATAGATGCCTCCTAGGTCATGTGGCTGGCATGATTGCATGGAGCGCTGTTACCTTCCTGCCAAAGCAGTACCTATTGATTTACTCACATTTGCCTGTTTTCAAACTGCTAGGTTGGTAGAAGCTGGGACAGGAGCTGACTCCATCCCACGGATTTGAAGCTCTGACCTTCCAGTCAGCAAGTTCTGCAGCTTAGCAATTAAACCCGCTGCACCACAGCAACCCCATAAATATGTACATTAGGAAAAGGACATACCAAAATATTCATGAATTCCTGTACAGAAAAGTAAAGGACAACTTATGTAGAATGAAAATATTTTTTGGTGGTGGTGGGGGGGTTGGGTTTGAAAAATGTAGTGAAAATGAAATGAACATGTTCACATCTTCACTCTTTGGATTTTTTCTGCTGTTCATGTGAGGTGATGCCTTGAGCAAACTTATGGTCTGTCTGTGAAAAATTGTAGTTATACTGCACAATACATATTCCCCTTAAACATAGTATTAATTCAATGCCTTGGATAATTGGAAAAAACAGAAAGTGAGAATAGTTTCAGAATTATATATATAGCTTCAAAGATTGCTCAAAATGAGATCTTTGGTTTTGGAGTAAATACTGATATTTAATTTCAGGTTATTTTTTTCAGGACGAAGACTTCAGCAATTCTGTTTTGTTTCCTATGTTGGGGTTGGACACTGATTTGGAAGGCCAGTCTTTATCAGTCACACATAAAAAAGATGAAGCAGCTACAATAAACCACCAGTTTAATTTAGTAACATATTTGAAGGTAAAACAGAAAATGAAAAAAATATTATTGTACAAGAATATTATATATTCGTGAAAAAGGGTAATCTGCTGACTCCTTGGAACTCTGAATAGGAAAGTCTTTATGAGAAAATGAAATTTATAAGGTCTGGTCTCCATATCCATGGGGAATATGTTCCCGGGCTTTGAATTGATATAAAAAGCCAGGGATAATAGTGAACCCTATTAAAAGAAGGACTTCTGGCCTGAGAGTTACACCGAAGGGGACTCAAAGTGGCTTAACATAAAATGATCATATTGTATATCAAGGTGTTGTGCACAGCAAGAAAATGAATGAATGGGACCAGTATTTATGGAAACATGTTTAATTCACATCTTTGTAGTGGATCAAACAGTTTCTTAGGTGATCATGATGAGACAAAGCTATTGGTGTAAATAAGTTGTTGTTTTTTCATGGATCCAATAGTCTGTTAACACCATTGTAACTGAATTCTATAAGGAGGAGGTGTGTGCTTTATAAGTCGTTGCTTCTCCAAGTGTGTGTGCATACATTGCATCTTGGGGCAGAGTTTAGGTCCAAAGGAGAATATTTAAATAGACAAAGTCTAAAGCAGTGGTTTTTAACCTATGGGTCTCCAGATGTTTTGACTTTCAACTCCCAGAAATCCGAACAGCTGGAAAACTGGCTGGGATTTCTGGGAGTTCCCTGGGGATCCACAGGTTGAGAACCACTGGTCTAAAGCAAGGGATCTCTGGGACAGAGAAACAAGCTCCTCTCCTTTTTGTTGAGGTTTTGAGAATGGAAACAGTAGGCAACTACCTCTCCCATGCTCATTTCAACTGGGCAAAAATATTCTTGCGGGAAAAGTGGGCATTTCAAATAAAGTCTTGTTATTTGAAATGCCAAGTTGAATTAAACAGTGCTAGGTGGCTAAAAAGAATAATTTATAATTCTTTAAAATGTTGGGAAATGCAAATGTATTAATTCTGTCATTAATTATTGGCTGAGTGTTTTCTTGTCATAAATAATAATAATAATAATAATAATAATAATAATAATGTACTTTATTTATATTCTTCTCTAGCTCTCCAAGGGGACTCAGTGTGGATTACAGAACACATAAGCAACTGATTTTAAAGTGGATATAAGTGATTTTGATGTTTGTATATATTTATGGTTTTATGTTCTGGCATTGAATGTTCACTGTATATATGTTGTGTTCCACTCTGAGTCCTCTGCAGGGTGAGAAAGGCAGAATATAAATGTTTTAAATAAATGGCAAACATTCAGTGCCATTATACAATTAACAGGACAGACAATACACAAACAGAGGTAAAGGCTTTTCACATCTTTTTCCATTTCCAGCATCAGGAGGCGATGCCCATCTCTGGCCAAGTTGGGTGTGCGTGTGTGTGTGTTGTCGCTGTATCTTCCATGCTGAGGAACTTTTGTTGTCCTTAGATATCCTCCTGATGTCTTTATGGACACCTTTATTACTTCCCTGCTTAAAGTGGTACCTATTTATCTACTCATATTTCTGTTTTTGATCTGCTTGGTAAGCAGAAGCTGGGGCTGATGGTTGCGTGCTCACCCCGACCTGGGCTTGAACTGCCAAGGTTTTGATCGGCAGGATTTTCTGCAACTTAGCGGTTTAACCCACTGTGCTAAGTCTGCCCTTGTCCTCAAATAATGATAGACAATATTATGTTATTATATGCCATAGATAGATGTTTTATAATGTATACAATTACCTGTTTATGTGTTTAATGAGAAAACACTGCTTTGAATATAATGCCGTCAATTGTCTTGAGCTATGCAATTAATAAGCTAATCTCTCTCTCTCTCTCTCTCTCTCTCTTTCATATTCTCTGTCTCTCAGGGGGCCTCCATTATCCGGATGCTTTCCAGTTTTTTGACTGAAACACTGTTTATTAAAGCACTCCGTGTGAGTTCAAAAATAATTTTCTAGATTTCTGTAAAATTGACTTATGATTTCACTTATATGTTTTCAAATGTACTGTCACAATTAGTAGAATAATTATGACACTTGTTTTATTTCAGTCATATCTGAATGTATTTTCCTTTTCAAATGCCATCCAGGATGATCTCTGGAATCAAATTCAAAAGGTACTTCAAATGTATATAGTATTATTAGTACTTTTATTACATTTTATGACATTAACCTGGGGTTTGAAGCCATAATCATGGAATGTGGGTCTAATAGATCAGCATAATTAAAGGGCTACATTGCGCTCTTTAAATATTTAACTTGCTTCCATGTCAGATATTGGTTTCCTGCTTAGGGAATGGTTTATTTCACTCACTGCTGAGGCCTGTACTAATGGTGTTCACAATCCCTTTTTTATGTTGTAAGGAATTGACAGCTGGCATCTTACTATAATCGCCAATCTCAATATAATCACACAGTATTGTGTAATTGTGGGAGTGGCAAGACCAGGTTGGGAGCATGAGATCTTTGCATTTGTGTTCAAGTTCAAAATGGAATTAAAAAGCAATTGTGACCCCCCCCCCCCACACACACACACACAAAATCTGGGATTCCATGCACTTAGCGGAACTGTTAGAGGCTTAACCTAAATGATACCTGAGACCAGTTGTTCTCTTCACATTTTCATCCCCACCTTGCCATTGTAGTCTCTTGTTAATTAGTCAGGAGAACAGTGGTTTTCTGGTAACTTTCCTCCTCTATTATGATCTGTAACATGCCTGCATTGTCCAAGCAAAAGAGGTGATTGAGTCGAACTAAATTATCTGTTGTCAGTTTGTTTCCTTACCTAGAATTAGTTCTACTATAGCATTCCAAGCCTGGAAACACCTATGACCACCGCATCACACAAGAGTCCAGGAATATAAGCAAACAGTTTATTGTAAAAGCACATAAATGCATATAAAAATCAGGAATAAGAAAGGAAGATATATAATCCAAAAAGGTTTAGCAACAGGTGATAACCCAACAGTAATCCAAATGTCTCATAAAGTTCCAAAGTCTGGGAACAACCAGAAATCACAGGTGCAGGATAAATCCATAAACAAGGAGGTATATCTAGTAAAAGTTAAACAGGAGTACATGGAACATAAACAGGAACATAGAAAACTTCCAGGATATATTAAATCAAAAACCAAAGCTTGAGTTGAACCAGGAATGAGAGAACTCAGGCTTAGCTTCTCATTCTTACACAGCATTGCCTGAACTGCCCTTAAGGTAAACAGCTTGTTGTTTAATAGACACCCATGAAAGCATCATATCTCCCATGAATTTTATCCACAACTTTCCCATATAATCTCTCAGACCACGGTAATCTGTTTTTGGCTCTAATTTGTAAAAGAAGACTTTTTGTTGAGCTCTTTAGCTACAGGTAGTTTCTCCTGGGAACTCTCCTTATCACTCAGCTTCACCTAATTCCTTATCTGTTATTGCTACTTCTGGCTCCTCTGACTGGCCTTGAGGCACTGCACTTTTCAAACCAGTTTCCTCACAGAGAGAACTATCATTTCACAGACCTGAATTTCCCAGACTTGAGGAACATTTACGGTCACTCTCACAGAATTCATGCAAATGCTACTTTCTTTTTGTGTCTAGATAGAAACACAGGCTCATTTTTAAACCTTATTTTTTATTTTAGAAACATCCAAACTAAAACATATCCAATGATATATAAAACCACCACTCAACAGTACAATACATTTGGAAGAAACTTCCAGATCCTACCCTGGGATAAAGATTAAGCTGCCCAGATCAGCTTTATAAATGCTCTTGTGTATTTCATCTTTAGGAAAATAGTTTGCATGAACAGTTTGCTGTGCTTGGGAGGCATCTAACACTTCAGAATGACTTCAGTTACACCCTTGTCCAGTTTGAACATTAGTGGAAGACTAATGGATATTCTGGATGCCCAAGTGTGGGTTAAGTCAAATTAGGTGTTACTGTTAATGCACTGTAAGGAAATATGTCGTGATAATTAATTGACAATTTACCAGATGAATGAAAGAGTTATTTTTCCCGATCACAGCAATGATTTCAGTTTTCAGCAAATATGGAAGAGACACATGCCCAGCTGTGATGTTAAGAGGCAAAAGTTCCCTTGGATTAGGGTTTTGCTGACATTCTACAATTTCAGGGGAGACCATCTACCACAACGACTTTTTAATATTAAGATGTATATAATTTCTAAATATATTCAAACTGAACCAGAGAAGGGGCTGAATCAAGTAGGTATTTCAGGACCTTGGACAGCTCTAGTCAGATAGCTTGCTTTAACAAAGCCTGGGGCAAGTTACTCTTCCAGAGTCCAGTACCCTTCCCATAAAGAAGCACTTTTCAGAATTACTTTCTGGTCTGCAAATTAACACTCTTTAGCTCCCAAAACTCTTTACTATTCCATAAGGGGTGTGCATACTTTTGTGAATTTCTGGTGTGCAGGGAAAGTTTCACATGAGTAGCTCAGGAATTGTGGGCAATGGAGGTCTCTGTTTGGAGGTATCACAATCAAAGAGCATCCAAATGACAGGGTTTTTTTATTCTTATGCGTCCACTGTTGGTCTTTTTGATTTTGTTATTGTTCTTCCTCTTATATACTCAGGCTTGTGGTTATCATGGAAACTTCCTTTCTGATACTAGAATGCACTGCATTTCTGTTATTGTGTGAGCTATTATATAATTAAGAATGATGGGAATGTTCATACATTAAACATAATATGATATGTTAAATACATACACAAGCAAACTAAGATGCATTATAATCCTGAGCTTTTCTTGAAGGTAATAGATGAACAAAATGACACTTATTTGCCAGCTAAAGTAAAGGTTATAATGGACACTTGGACCTGCCAAGTTGGCTACCCAGTCCTGACAGTAAATTTCTCCACTGGGAATATCAGTCAAGATCAATATTATTCAGAAAAAGATAAAAACAGCACAAAGTAAGTTGGATTTTGATAAATCATAGATTTGGTTTGGGTATACAGATATTGGAATCTTATGCAGAAATCTCCTTGGCTAACATATTTGCCCAGTTGATATAATTCCTCCTTTTAGTACAAACCATTGTTTACCATAGTTTCCAAATCTGAAAACTGCATTTTGAATTATCCTTAATGATCAACAACAAGCATTAGTACTCATTCTTGGTACAAACTATGTTTGGAAACATGACATGGCTATTTCTCATTTCCCAAACTATGAATTGGATTTATAAAATTATATTTCAGTGAATGTGTGAGTTGGGATATGTAACAAAGTACTATTTTCTTTATCAAAGTGCTTTTCCTTTCCTCCATATAAATCTGAAAGGAAAAGGAAGGAAAAACAGAAATATATCAAAAATTGCAACAGAGTGCTCTGAAATGCTAGTTATGTGATGCTTCTTTAATTATTTAGGTTTTTAAAAATGTATCCTTTTTTGTTTTTCCTTAAGTAACACGTGGATGATTCCAATTTCTTGGATAAGAAATGGAACTGTACAGCCTTTATTGTGGCTTGATAAAAGTAGCAGTAAGTATTTTTTTCCCCACCAGGAACTTAAAAGTTTATATTGTTTATGACATGTAGTTGGTTATATTGATAAGAAATCAATTGCAGGCCTCAACATCCATATTTATATATTTATAATTCTTATTTATAAATATATATATAAAGATAAATAATGGAGGTGCTTACTTTTATGTAGCTAAAACAAGAACACACATGTACTGCAGTCTCGGGAGAAGCCCAAATGTTTGAACATGTTTAGTACAAGAAAATTAAGGAAGTAACAACTCCAAGCACAACTGACTGGCATAGTTAAAAGCAAATGAGTAACATGCACAGAGAGAAAACAGGGACAAGGGAAGAATTAAATATTTTAGAACTGTACACAGTTGACTGGAACTTGAAACAGGAATACTCCACACTGCATCATTAAAAAAAAGCTTTGGCATTTTTTTCTTTGTCAATAATGTTTATTTGCTTGTAAAATTTGGTCCCAGGAAAATCTTTGGAAAATTTTAGTCCAGGGATGGTTCAAAGCAAAGGATTCATTGGAAACAGGCATGGCTTCTCTCCTATGTGTAAATCTGATAGTTTGTGGCAAAGACTGTGATTAACATAAATATGAAAATTAATTTTATAACTCTGTCTCCTGAACAACACTCTAACTCAGGGATGGGCAAACTAAGGCCAAGATTGCTTACACGAGCGGCGCTCAGGGAGCACACAACTCCCTTGTTGCGTCAGCTCCACTGGCTGCCAGTCTGCTACTGGGCACAATTCAAAGTGCTGGCTTTAGCCTATAAAACCCTAAACAGTTCTGGCCCAACTTACTTGTCCAAATGCATCTCCCCTTATGAACCCTCCAGGACAAGATTGTCTGGGGAGGCCCTGCTCTCGGTCCCGCCTTCGTCACAGGTACGGCTGGAGGAGACAAAAGACAGGGCCTTCTCAGTGGTAGCCCCTTGGCTATGGAACACCCTCCCTAAGGATATCAGATCGGCCCCCTCTGGTTGGACAATGTGATTGGACAGTGTTTTTAATAGGAGACCTTAATGTGCATGTTTTTATTGATTTTGTTATGGTTTTATTATCCAATTGTTTTTTATTGTATTGAAATTATATTTTATGGTCTTGGCATCAATTGTAAACTGCCTTGGGTTGCCTCCGGGCTGAAAAATAATAAATAAATAAATAAATAAATAAATAAGGCCTATGGGCCAGTTGTGGTCCTGCAGGGGCTTTCCTCTGGCCCTCTCCTTTCCCTGCTCCCTTTGGTATAAGGCCATGGTAGCCCACCACAGCGAGCTTATACCAAAAGGACAGGGGAGGCAGGAAAGGCCTGATGGTGAGAAGCACACCTTCTTCTCCTCTTGGCACAAGGAACTGGCTGCAGCCAGGTCACTGTGTTGAGAGGAAGTACTACCCGGTAGGAAGGCACAGGTCTTCTTCCCAGCTGTGCGTCTTCTCCCCTCTCGTCACAGTAACCCAGTTGGATTGATGTGCTGAGAGAAGAGACCTGGCCCAGTGGAAGGCGCATGACTGATCTCTATCAGCCGCATGCCTTCCTCTCTTCCCCTCTTGGCACAGCAACCAAGCCAAGAGGAGAGGAATGAAAGGCTTGGCATGAAGGCACATAGCTGATAGAGGCCTTTGCAGGGCTTCTATCAGCCACGCGCCTTCCTCTCCTCCCCTCTCAGCACAGTGACTCAGTTGGGTGGATGTACTGAGAGAAGAGGTCTGGCCAAACAGGAAGGCATGTGGCTGAAAGTAGCCGGGGGGGGGGGGGGGGGGGGGGGGGGGGGGGGCTTGAGGGGCTTCAGCCCCCCCTCCGAAATTCTCAGGGTGGTCCACGAGAAGGCCTTATGGGTATATTATTTAAACTGTTATGTTTATTCATATCATGATCTGATCACCATGCTCAATATCTCCCATATGCATGGGGCTATTGGGATAATGATACAAAAGGTTTGCTAGGGTAGATCCTTAGCCCCCCCTTTGAATCAAACTCAGCACCCCCCAAATCAAAATCCTGGCTACGGGCCTGGCTGTGTACATGCAAAATTGTAAATGCACACTATATATTACAGAAGATGCATTTAAAGAAATATATCTTTTTTTTCAATTGGAGAATTAGAGGGGGATTGAAAAAGAAAGTTCAGATTTCTTAGTAAGCAAGATACTTAGAAAAAAGAGTTTTGAAGGGGCAGCAAGGAAGCACTTTTCCTGTTTTAACAGCTAGATCACTTATTTAATGCCACAGAATAGATAAAGAGCCAGATGCCTACCTTGCCTTTGGCATCTATGAGCTATTGCAAGGGACTACAAACTGCATTGCTGTCATGTTTTGCTGTCATGAATTGGCAAACATTGACCACAAGATGATTTTATTGCTGCTACTGTATTGTTTTTGATTGTTTTAACTAGCCATAACTGTTGACACTATATTGTAATTTGTACATTGTATTTTGTGAATTGTTGGGCATCGAATTGTGCCTTTTGTAAGCTGCCCTGAGTCCCCCCTAGGGGGTTTATTTATTATTTATTTATTACTGCGCTTGTATACCGCTGTTTCTCAGCCTACATTGGCGACTCAACGCGGTTTACAACACTACAATAATCAACAATACTCAGTTTAAAAAGCATAAAAACACATACATAAAACACAATATTGGGCCACCAATAACAAACCAATGCATCTCTTAACTAAAATCGCAATCCAATTTCCTCGTCTGTGATTACCAATCCTTGATCATCAGATTCGTTGCATTGGATTAACCGAATGCTTGTTCGAACATCCATGTCTTCAGTCTTTTTCGAAACACCATCAGCGAGGGGGCTGATCTTACCTCTATGGGGAGGGCGTTCCAAAGCCGAGGGGCCACCACAGAAAAGGCCCTGTCTCTCGTCCCCGCCAGCCGCACCTGTGAAGCAGGCGGGATAGAGAGCAGGGCCTCCCCAGAAGATCTTAGGGTCCTGGTGGGCTGATAGGCGAGATACGTTCGGATAGGTAGTTGGGCCAGAACCGTTTAGGGCTTTAAAGGCCAATGCCAGCACTTTGAATTGGGTCCAGTAGCTAATCGGCAGCCAGTGGAGCTGGTACAGCAAAGGAGTTGTATGCTCCCTGCGTCCTGCTCCTGTTAGTACTATGGCTGCCGCCCGTTGGACTAATTGGAGCTTCCGAGCCGTCTTCAAAGGCAACCCCACGTAGAGAGCGTTGCAGTAATCAAGGCGGGATGTAACCAGAGCATGGACTACCGTGGCCAAGTCAGACTTCCCAAGGTACGGTCGCAGTTGGCACACAAGTTTTAATTGTGCGAATGCTCCCCTGGTCACCGCCGAAACCTGGGGTTCCAGGCTCAGCGATGAGTCCAGGATCACACCCAAACTGCGAACCTGCGTCTTCAGGGGGAGTGCGACCCCGTCTAACACAGGCTGTAACCCTATTGAGGCTGTAACCGGGTTGAGAAGGGCGGGGTAGAAGCACCCCAAATAAATAAATAAATAAATAAATAAATAAATATTTTGAGCACCAGCTTAAGATTCACTCATGTTCCATTTCAGTATGCAGCATGCCATGTCAAACTACCATTAAAATATAATTGTTGTGACTGTTGGTATTTCTTTGCTTAAATAAATAAATATTTTGAGCACCAGCTTAAGATTCACTCATGTTCCATTTCAGTATGCAGCATGCCATGTCAAACTACCATTAAAATATAATTGTTGTGACTGTTGGTATTTCTTTGCTTAAATATAAACCAATTTTGTCATTTCATTATAATTTTGTATTGGAAGTCAGTTTTCAGTCTTCATGGACCTATATAGTTTTGCAGAACAGCACCAAAAATTTATGCCAACTTCTTTTTTTCCATGTGCTTTCAGAAATATTTCCTGAGATGAAAATTTCAGATGCAGAACGCGACTGGATTATTTTAAATGTGAATATGACTGGTTACTATAGGATTAACTATGGCCAAACACACTTCAGAAAACTGGCCAAAGTTCTTGAAAATGACCCAAAGGCAAGGCAGTGTTTGTGGTTGCTACATGGTTTTGTGGTCCTACACAATAGATGTTCTGAGCCATTTCCTTGACTCTCACAGGGTATAGTTTTCAGACCCAGAATAGGTTCTCATAAAACCCTTAGTATAGGTCTGTCTGAGATAAAGCAAAGGCTGAAGGCAATCAACACACATAAAACTGGGTGCTAGAGGTAGCCCATGTCTACTCCTAACCCATAACTATGTCTAGCAGCTGGCATGGCAATACAAGTGCTTTTGGCTTGCTCTTTTATAAGGGAAGGGAAAGAGAAGGAGCTACATGTAAGTGATGTCTCTTTCTTACATTTCTATGCTTGTACACACTTTAGGGATTGCATGCAGAACTAGAGACTCAAGGTGTTTGTTCAGAAGTGATAATATCCTAGTTGTTTTCATTTTTGAATAATTGGGGGGCATTAGAGTATGAGGGGCATTATATTTAATGTGTGCATGAGTTTGACTTCCAAGTGTTGCAGCTATCTGAGAACACTTTGAAACATAGGATATGTGAGTTGTCTACATCTTTTAAACTTATGGTTCTTCTTTTCAGGTGATTCCTGTGGTCAACAAGTTACAATTGATGTCAGATGCTTTTAGCATGCAGTGGTAAGCATATCTGTTATAGACATTTAACCCATATTTATAATTGAGTTTTACTTTATTTTTGTCTGTCTCCTTTAAAAATATTGATCAGATCCAGCTCCTCATGCGGGGACATGAGAGAAGCCTCCCACAAGGATGATAAAACATCAAATCATCCAGGCGTCCCCTGGGCAACGTCCTTGCAGACGGCCAATTCTCTCACACCAGAAGTGACTTGCAGTTTCTCAAGTCGCTCCTGACACGACAAAAAACAAACAAACAAACAAACAAACAAACAAAAAAATAATTCCTCTGCCATCTCTCTTATCAACTTTGTGGGAAGGAACACTTTATCACATGGTTTGGATCCTTTGATCAGTTTGATTAGTCTGAGAGACGTAATGTAGTTTTAACCACGGTGCAGACCTACGTACTACAATTTTTCCAAATATTTGAGATAATCTTACTATTGGCCATGATAGCTAGAGGACCTCACCAATGAGAAATCCAATTTCCTGTTTTAGTTTGCTTTTTGAATAAATGTGAATTCAAAAATAGGTGGAGTCCTGGTATAAGACACAAGAATGTGAATGCCCATTGTTGTGGCTTTGAAGAAAAATGTTTGGAATTTTTGATTGAAACATTTTTTTTCTCCTGAAAATGGAAATTGATCTGAAGCTTAAAGATATCACAAGACTTTATTTATATTATAGCATCTGAGTAGATAGGTCTCAATTCTAGATTTGCTAGGGATCCAGCTTATGTCACCCACTTGGTTTTCTTAGCCTGTGTGCCTTTCTTCCTTTGTTCATATTTGGGAGCTGTATCAGTTTTCACTTACCTCAATGCACAGTTCTGTTGATTCTCCCCCAAGAAGGCTACAGGACAAAATTCAGAATCACACTTCAGGATGTGTAACCAGGAGTGATGCATCCATATATTAATCAGCGTTTGTAATTTGTATGTAGTCACAATTATGGCACTATTGCCATGATCTTAACTGCCACCTACCAACTTGCTTTATTGGATATTAGCCTCACTGAGAGAAAGAGGTTCATTTCGTTGGTGGATGACATTTTTCCACTCTCCTACCTGCAAGTGAGACTGCAACAATCAAAGCAGGACTCTAGTCACATTTCCATATTGCAGCTGTTTTTTCAGTAGGCAAGGTCCTGGTGGAGACATCATTCACCAATGATTCCTACTGTCAGTGTGAGTGATACCTCATAAAGTTGGTCTGGAAGACGTTGCTTAGTTATGTCAATGTAACGAAGAATCCCATGTAGAATCCTGACCAATAGTACCCTGAGTCAGTCATGAACAGAACAGGAGCCCTGAAATGGATGGACAAATGAATCATAATTAGCTCAATTTCCATTGATTTCGGTGAGTATGCTCTTAGCATGACTTGAAGTCCGGAACCAATTCAAGAGTACAATCTGTTTCCTCACAAGTAGCATATACACTTGTATGTAAGTTGGGCAGATGTATAAGTTGAAGGCAGGCTTTGAGGCCAAGATTATAAATGTTGATATGACCCATTAATAAGTTAAGGGTCATTTTGCAGAAAGGGGAAAGTGCAAGTTTTTCCTCAGCACTCCAGCTGTCATGGCTGCTGCTGCCATTTCCCCATCAAGGCACGCAAAGGTTTTTTGACATGTCATTCAGAGAGGAGGATGGTTGCTTTTCTGATAACAGTTAAGGTACAGTTAACACTTATCAAAAAAGTAACATTCCCTTCTCTGAGAAAAGTGGCAAAAGGCAAAAATGTGGTCCATCCTGGGAGAACCTAAATATATATCTATATCAATTCCCTCTAGTGCCATCATCATTTTTTCATCCAGGCATTCAAAAAGACCAGAAGTGGTGTCACGGTGGAAGGCGTAGTGGGGGGTGGGCGGGGCTGGTGCTTGTTTTACATTCTTCTGAGATGGACTAAGCCAGTGGTTCTCAACCTGTGGGTCCCCAGTGCTGGAGTTCAGCCTTCGATTGTGTCTGCACCTGATCTCCCTGGGGATTCTTGGCCTGTTAGTCATTCTGAGGACACTGGGGATTCTGGGTCTGCAAGTCAGCAGGTAAGCCAGCAAGAGGTTTTAAACCCTGGAAATGAGCAGTCTGTGTCTGAATGCCACATTCCTGAAAGGCAGTTCACTAGGGAAGCAAGGTCAACAACAGAACAGAGATCAGAGTATGAAAATGAAAGGTTAGATAGGAGATTTACATTCTGTCAACATAGGGCTTTTCAGGAGAGTGTACGAAGGTCAAGATGATTGTTAGCGAAGAAGTCCTTATTAGTTTCCCAGTGGAGAAGGCATGGTTTTTTCTCTATATTAGCTAGCCCAGCAGATGGGTCCATTAGTCCAGACAATGTTGGTGACTGAGTATAGATCTATTGTCAAGTCAAGGGATTTCTAGTTCCATGTTCCATGCTTCCTTTTGTTCATCCCTCATGATTTCAAGTTTTGAAGACTGTTTTTGCATTTCATATTTTGGATTTATTCTGCTTTTGTATTCCTGGTTTTTGATGCTATTCCTGTACTTTGATTTCTGTAGATTATTCCTGATATTTGGACTTTGGTTTTTGATACTATCTTCCTGAAGCGCTTTTCATATATATTCTTCAATAACCTGCTTAGTTATTTTACTGTGGACTGGAGTGTGTGTTAAGTACAGAGGTGGTTCTCAGCCTTGGAGTGCAACACCCAGATGTTTTGACCTTCATCTCCCAGAAATCCCAACAGATGGTAAACTGGCTGGGAGTTGTAGGCCAAAACACCCGGGGAATGACAGGTTGAGAACTACTGGACTAAGACCTTGCTTTTTTCCATCTACTCAGAGAAGGGGGTGGTTCCCTTTTGGGTAAGAGTCAAGATACAGCACTTATTTGGCCCATGGATACACCAACTTTCATTTTTGGGTCTATTCTTTGACCAGAGTTTCTAGATCATGCATAAGTGTGTGTGTGTGTCTAGAAATGTCTAGGGACTTACTCTTTAACGGTGCCTTTTGAAACTGGAGTGTAGTAAAATCCTAAGTGTGATGCTGGAGAATCACTAAGCTGGATGGAACTGATTTTCAACATGTGCTTAGAAATGCAGCTTTGGTATACTCTGCATGGCTATATCTCAAAAACACTTTTGGCTCTGCATTCTAAATAGGGGCTTCCTTCTTTGCCTCCAGCCTGTTCTTGCTCCTGACTTCTTTCTGCTGCAGTTCTGAGCTCAGCCACTTGGTCCATTTTTCCAGCCTCAACCTGCTTCCTTTCCTGATGCTGCTTCCACTTCAGCTTCCTCTTTTTATGAATTGTCTGCCTGGAATATCACCGCTCAATAGGCTTTGAATGGTGAGTATATCTTGCTGATTCTGCTTGGACATTCCTCCTTCTGTAATACCATTTAGTGGCATTGCCAGCACTTCAAGTTAAATTGTGTTGAATGCAGCATTTTGTTCCAAGCCATTTGTATGGTTTCCTTTGGTATTGTGTATCTTTAGTTAAGCCAGTACACATCCCTCATTTGGGAAGTTGCTTCTTGTTTTCCATGTTGTGTAGCTCTTACATGTGTCTACAGGTGTTATACCATGCAGCTGAACATAACATACCATACTTAATATCTTGATTTCTTTCTCGTACTCTCACTGAATTATATCTAGTTTTTGTTTTTCGAAGATTCATATTTAAGCTTTTAAAATTGTGCCTGCATTCTGAAAGTATTCTAATATCCCCCAATAAAATAAAATTTGGAATGGAAAAAACAAGATCTCATTACATCTGTTTTCATTCACATGTAGCAATTTTTAGACTAATTGATCTTTGAAGGAAATAATGTATTTCAAAGCTGCCTCTCAGGACTCTTCCACACAGCCATATAATCCAGAATATCAAGGCAGAAAATCCCACAATATCTACTTTGAAATGGGTTATCTGAGTCCACACCGAGTCCACATATTTCAGTTCAAAGCAGAAAATGTGGGATTTTATTCATTTGTGTGGAAGGGGCCTCCATTACACCAGAATGGCTAAAGGGAATGTTCCTTTTGGCTTCTTCCAGAGAGTATAGTGTGGAAGACAGCTGTATTGTAAAATAAATCAAAAACGTCTTCATGATGAACTGTTGATAACAGTAACCTCAATAGTTTGAAATCTCTTTTTTAACTTTTCTCCCACTTAATGATTTTAAGCCCCTCCACCCTTTCTATGCAGGACTGCCTAGGAAATCAATGACCAAACTTTCAGAATGGGCAGCTGGAAAAATTCAGTGTCATGCAACTCATCATAGCAAATAACTTTTTAAAAAATCAATGACATATGCCATCTTGGATATTTGTTGTTGTTATTGACAGTGATTGACAGTGGCCTTGTGAATAAGAGACCTCCAAAACCCACAGTCATTAATTGTCTTGTTGGATTCTGCAAACTCGCTGTGGCTTCTTTCATTGAATATATCCACCTGCGATGCAGTTTCCTCCTTTCCTATAGTTTTGATCTTTTCACTGTGTTATCAAACTCCAGATATTATTCATGCACAGTTATACAATATTTATAACTGTGCTATCCCTCTATTCAGACCACACCTGGAATACAGTTTCCAATTCTGGGCACCACAATTGAAGGGAGATGTTGACAAGCTGGAATGTGTTCAGAGGAGGGCGACTAAAATGATCAATGGTCTGAAGAACCAGCCCTATGAGGAGTGGCTTAAAGAGCTGGGCGTGTTTAGCCTGCAGAAGAGAAGGCTGAGAAGAGATATGATGGCCATGTATAAATATGTGAGGGGAAGTCATAGGCTTGTTTTCTGCTGCCCTGGAGACATGGACGCAAAACAATGGCTTCAAACTACAGGAAAGGAGATTCCACCTGAACATTAGGAAGAACTGTGGGAGCTGTTCAGCAGTGCAACTCTCTGCCTCAAACTGTGGTGGAGGTGTCTTCTTTAGAGGCTTTTAAACAGAGGCTGGGTGGCCATCTGTCGAGGGTGCTTTGAATGTGATTTTCCTGTTCCTTGGCAGGGAGTTGGACTGGATGGCCCACTGGGTCTCTTTGAACTCTATGATTCTGTGATTTTACAGGGGCATAGATTGTGGCCCAGGAGGCAAACATGATGTAAAAGGACTACACTAGCTACCTCAGGCATGGGCAAACTTAGGACTTCCAGGTAATTTGGGCTTCAGTTCCCACAATTCCCAACAGCCTACTGGTTGTTTGTCCATGCCTGAACTAACCTGTCAGATGCCACAGTAGGACTCAGCTGCTTCTGTTGGAACAGGGAAGTTTGGGGACAGAAGAGCAGAGATGGGCAGAGGGATAATTTTGGAAGCTGTGCTGGAAGCACCAGGAGAGCCAGGGTTGTCAGTGCTGGCAGACAAATGGCTGGGATGGGGCACACGGTAACAGGCAGCCTCCATTGGCTCATAGCTCCCAGGGCACTGCTTGCCCAGTTCAGCAAAGCTATCCTACTACCTCTTTGCCCCTTATAAGTGAAGGACAAGAGCCTGTAAATGTCAGTCTGCTGGCAGTGAGTAGAATATTATTTTATGAACTTGGTTTCAGTTACATATTCACATTTTCCCCCAGTAACTGCTACACTTTTCTTTGCTTGATTTCTTCAGCTGGTATGTGCAGATAGATAGACAAACATAGAGCATATATCAATTTCCTAATTTGATCTCTTTTCAATAGGTCTGGTTACCTTGAATATGGTACTGCATTATATTTCACTAAATATCTTGAAAAAGAAGATGAAATCATAGTGTGGAATACAGTGCTTCCTTATCTAGACACATACAGCTGGCATTATATTCGGGATGACTATGAATTATATCCCATTTTAAAGGTACCTATGTTCTGAATTTTAGACCATTGATTAATTTTAGCAACCTATTTCTATGTTTTCCTTGCTTTGCTTTGTTTTAAGCATCTTGCATATCCCCCATTTTGTCTCTAACAGGTTAATTAGTAGTGTGTCTTGAAAATAATAGAATTAATCTGCAATATTAGATTAATCTAGCTACCAGTATTAAAAAACTCTAAAATCAGGACCGCAAATAAAGAACAACACTCAAAACAGGTGCATTCCAGATAAGAAATAATCAGGGCCAGCTAATGCCTCCCAACAAAGGATCCCCTCAGGCAGTAACCAACCAAGCTTTGAAGCTGCAAGGCCATTAAATGCTAATCAATGTGACCAATTGCAACAGCCACACTTGCCTAAAGCAGACAAGAGTTCTTTCTCCCACCATGGACATTTTGCAGATATATCAGCCACACTTGCCTAGTTTCCAACAGACCTCACAATCTTTGAGAATGCCTGCCATTGATATGGGTGAAACGTCAGGAGGGAATGCTTCTGGAACATTGACACACAGCCCAGAAAACTCACAGCAACCCAATCCAGTATATTGGTGCTATTGACTACTTCATCATTTGAAAAAGTTATGGTGAAACATATCATACAACTTTCTTATAACATATTTCTGATACTTTCAAACTCAAATAAAAATAGTTTGCCATTGTGGTGAGCAGTTTCTAATGATTTAGAGAGCATAGGATCAAACATGTCCCCATTAGGTTTGGGAATTTAATTATTTTGAAATGGTTGGAGGCCCTCTGAGCCATTTTAACATATAGTCACTATTCATGGAGCGGCAAATTCAATGAAGAAGGGATTCTTAACACTCTGGAGGATTCACAGGTTGCAAAAATAGCCCTAGGTACTTTCTGAAATCTCTGAGCTACACATTTCTCAGCATTGTTCTACTTGGAGTAGTCATATCACAGAACTACATTTCCTTTGGCAGGGCCCTTTGTTTTTAAGCAACATTGTATGCATGCACATATGCATGTACACAGGGAGTGCACATAATTATAATCAGGTTTGGAAACATTTTTACAAATAGAGCCCAATTTAGATAATGAACTATAGAAATCATGTGGAAAAAGGGAGAGAAGAGAGGCGTGTAGAGTATTTTCTAAGATTTCCCTTATCAGCCCTGTATATCTCAAAGGTCAAATCCTCATTCTTCCTCCATGTTAAAGGAATAAAAGAAGAATGTGTTGAAACTTTTAAAATAACCTGCCTTTCTTTTCCTCAAAGAAATACTTGTTACCACGAATATTACCAGTATTTCATCATTATGCATCTCTCCTTCATGAGGATGTTAAAATGGAGCCAGCTATCTATATTGCTACGTGAGTATATTTAAAAGAAGAGATTGTCACTCTTTTCAGTGATTCCCAAGCTCTAGACTCCCAGGTGCTTTGAATACCAACTTCCAGAAGCCGCAGATGCTTTGGCCAATGACCTGGAATTCTGGGAGCTGAAGTCCAAAACAGCTGTAAGATCAGAGTTTGACAAAGATTGCCCTACTCCATCTTATGTAAGTCCATCCTGTACAAGAGACTCTCTTCCCTATCCATGTGCTAACAAGAACAGAAGTGAAAATGAGGGGCTGATAAATTCCAGAGGGTAAACTGGAGTTTTAACAAAACACAATTTGTTTTATAAAATTTGATTTTGGGGGAATGGTTGCTGGTTAGAGGTATGCAGAAAGAGAGTGAGTATGGATAAGCAAACAGGAAGTTTACAAACAAATTGTTAGTAGTAGTAGTAGTAGCAATAATAATAATAATATTAAATTGATTTCATGGCTCAAGGCAGGGTACAACACAGTCACAGCACATCAATATAAAATACATACGATAAAATATATTAAAATGCAGTACTATAAAATGCATATACCAAAACACATGATACAAAGATCAAAATACAGCAGAAATAGAATGCAAATATAAAACTCATGGTTCAAAGTTGAACGGGTAGGCTTGCCGGAAGAGATGGGTCTTTGGTTGTGTCTTTTAAAAACATTTTTACATTTGGATCATACAAGTAGAATATATAACATAGGCACATTTCCTAACAAGAATGTTTAGAAAAAAACCCAAAAGTGACATATCTATATATAACTTTTCCAATTTAGGGGTAAAAACTGTTTTTTGTTCAGCTCCATTTTTTGCCCTAATATTACCTCCATTTCACTCTTTATTTTCCTGTAGAATTCTTGTACTTTGGCACAATCCCACCACATTTAGCTGTTGAATCTCTTCCAGCAGGTCATTCCACAGTTGTGACCTACAAATAAGCATCTTAGGGTGAAAAAATAAGCATCTTAGGGTGCAACTGCCTCAGTTCATTCACAGAGCCCCATGTTGCCCATCAGATAACATAGGCAGACTTCCAGTGGAGCTTCATGGGTAAACTGGGGTGGCAGTGTGGTAGGGCACTGCACCACCAAGTGATAGCCTCCTCGTGTTCCATTAGGAACAACAAAATTACTACAGGATTAAGCTATGTGGTGACGCTTTCCCATGTGTTATCTGCTGGTCAGGGGTGCTGGGAACTGTTATCTGCTGGTCGGGGTGCCGGGATTGCCTGTTGCCACCCTGATTTGCCATAGAGGTATGCTAATCGCAATACTGGACCTCATCCATGTGATGAGGTCTTTAGCAATGAAAAAGCTGCTAATTCTAGCAAATGTTTATTTGTTTGAATGACTGGAGTACTGAAGCAAATTGTTCAAATCTATAAAAAGTATAGAAAGGAATACTGGATTTAAAAGTAACCCAGGAGACTGTTAGGACTTTCCTCAGACTCAAAAACAATATCATGTCACTTCTGCAAATTTTACTCAATCAAGATGTGTGGAGGTAGAAGGCAAACACATGAATGCAAATGAAATAGCGATAGTGGAAGCCTGCAAAGATATAATAGTTAGCACTAATTTTGATGTTATGCAGCATGTTTAATTTGTTTCTTTCTATGCATTTTATCTCTCTTCTTAGAAATGATTTAGAAAAAATATTTGAAACAGTATGTCGGTTTGGGCACCGTGACTGTTTAAACCTTATTTCTGAAATCTTCACCAGAAGAATGAACCGTCCTGATAATGAGTAAATATGATCTTTGTACATAAATATACAAATAGACAATCAGTTAGAAAACACTTTTCTTAAGGGTCAGGAAGTCAAAATGGGGTGCAGCCCATGTAGATCCAGGGGAGGACAAAAATGACCCCGGACCCTGAGAAAATCTGTAATCCTGATACAAGGGAGTTATGGAATCAACAATTTTATTTTCCAACAGCTTGCTGATTCATTTTGTTAATTTTTATCTCAAAAAGGCATGTTATATTCCCTCTTTACTCTGTTGCACACCAATAGAAATGTAACAGTGAAAACTACAGATGGACATGTATTATGTTTTAGTTTTCATTTAACAATCTGTCACAAAAATTGGCATTTTTACCTCATTGATGCTGGGAACTCAGCTAGAACTGATAAGTCTGTGATATAAAATGTGGAGTATCATAAATTTAGATACATTTCTTACAGAATTCAGGGGAAATTACTCTTTGATAGTGACTCAAACTCTTTGGAAAGTTTTGTGAGGGAGAACTAAAGCTTGTTACAGGAAGGAACAAGCAGGATTCTAAGCTGTAATTGTTGATATTCCTCTTGTTTTACCCAATCCTTTTGTACCAGGTTACTAACTGGAGATAATTATAGGGAGCACACCACTCAGTGGTGAAGCAGCTCCACTGGCTGCTGATAAGTTTCTGGTCCCAGTTCAAAGTGTAGAACGTCCTACATAGTTCGGGACCAGCATATCTTCATGACTGCATCTCCCCCTATGCACCCTAAGATCTGCTGGGGAGGCCCTCCTCTTGGTCCTGCCTCCGTCTTTAGTGCAGTTGGTAGGAACAAGGGAGAGGGCCTTCTCGGTGGTGGCCCCTCAGCTCTGGAACGCCCTACCCAGTGAACTTAGACAAACCTCTACACTACAACACTTTGGGAAAGAGTAAAAAACTTGTTTTTTCCAGCAGGCATTTGTTTAGACAGTAACCAGAACTGATTGCCAATCACTTAGCACTTTATATCAATATTCTGTGTGTTCAGCTGGGCTGCTATATTGATTGCATATATCTATTATCTGATTTTAATTGAGTTTAATATTTTAATAGAGGTTGTTTTATCCAGTTTATATACATGGTTTATGTAATGTATTTTTTTATGTTGATGTATTTGATATTATGTACCATGTATATTATGTATGGAATCTTTGTGTGCTATTTTGTAAGCTGCCCCGAGTCCCTAAGGAGATGGTGGTGGGGTATAAATAAAGTTATTATTATTATTATTATTATTATTATTATTATTATTATTATTATTATTATTATTACCTCCTCAGTGGGAAATGGAGCCTGGTTTACTTAGAATTTTATAACTCATAGTAATATATTTTAATACATTTTTATCATTTTTTTCATTGTGAAGCAGGGTGTTGTGTCATGCTAATTCTAAGTCATATCCTCTGTTTCAGGGGTCATGTCTGTTACAGCACGTTTGTGTGTTGCTATGGTGTTCAGATGGGCAGTGACAAAGAGTGGGAATTTTTATGGGAACAGCAAAAGCAGAATGGTACAGAATTGCATGAAGAATATTCAATATTATCTGCTCTGGCCTGCACCAAAGAGCCATGGCTACTTCAAAGGTGACCTTAATTAACTTGCATTTTTAATTAACTTGCATTTTACCCAGCCACACATTGCTGTGGCCCATTGTGGAGAAATGGGAAAGAAAGAAAAGAGAAAGAGCTGGTTTCTATGCTATCAATACACAACTGAAGTGGCAAAGTGTCAACCGGTGATTGCCCCCTGGCTATGAAACTCCCTTCCTGGCGAGATCAGATCGGCCCCCTCCCTCCTGTCCTTCAGAAGGATGGTAAAAACTTGGCCGTGGTATCAAGCTTTYGGGACAGGGCAATATAACAGCAATAGGAAAGATTACCAGGCAAATTAGATTAGATGCAGATGACCAAGACRGTTTTAAATGGTGTATTTTAATATTGAGATAAATGTTTTTAATGTTTTATGTATGCATATATGAATTCTTATCCTGGTATTGAATGTTTGCCGTATATATGCTGTGCTCCGCCCTGAGTCCCCTTCGGAGTGAGAAGAGCAGAATATAAATGTTTTAAATAAATAAATAAATARATARATAAATAAATAAATAAATAAATAAAAAAAATAGGATGGACTGATCTCAGCACTATGGAGAGATGCAACAAACATAGCAGTGGTTGCAGCAGCCACAGCAAAAACAACAGCCAACTGCCAGCTGCCACTTAGGGCAGAAAAGTGGCAGTAGTATCAAGTAGGGATGTGYAATCTACTAAAAATGTTTCAAAAGTCATTACAAAAATGGGGGTGGGGGGTTTGCTGGTGTTCTGTTTCTAAAGTATTTCTAAAGTATAGTTAGTGAAAAAATTGTTACTATAATGAGAGTAATGAAATTTTGTTACTATTTCATTATAGTAATTGCACATAATTACTATAATTGGGGAAAACTTCAGGAGCTCTTTTCTCCCTCATTTTTATCGCTATTGGGATGTCTTCCCTAAACATTCATTTGCCTGGGTCTGGAGGAAACACTCTCCATCTCACCTCTTCTCAGCCAGTTCACATAAGAACCAAGGGTCAACTATTCTACCATGAGGGGAACACTAAAGATCCTCCACCATTACCCTGCTGAGGCAGTGGTTCTCAACCTGTAGGTCCCCAGATGTTTTGGCCTTCAACTCCAAGAAATCCTAACAGCTGTTAAACTGGCTGGGATTTCTGGAAGTTGTAGGCCAAAACACCTGGAGACCCACAGGTTGAGAAGCACTGTGCTAAGGCATCTCAAAAGGCTGCTGGAGAGAATAGAAGTGGTTGGTGTTTTGTTTAAGTCCCCCCTGGGCAGATGAATTTCCGAGAGAAACTAAAAGAAGTACTGATCCCCTTTGCTCTGCCTGCCATAGTGGAGAAGTGACAAAGAGCTGCCACTGCCACCATTTCACTCCTTAGGCATTCAAAGGGCCAGAAGTGTCACTTCAACTTGGCAGTCCTACCAATGGGAGAAAGTTATACTTGACTGTTTTACCTTAGGCAGATATATGAGTGAAGGTTTAGAACTTGCCTTTTGATAGCAAACTTCCACATCGATTTCACCAGTACCTATGTTCTAGAAGAAACTGACTGAAATCACAAGTTTTTTGAAACTTGGAGAAGAAGGTTAGTGAGTTAGTTTTGAAAGAACAATGAGTTAAACTTCTGTAAATGTTTTAGGCTTCAGCAGTGCCTTGATCTTAGTAGATCTTAACATATACCCTGTTTTTCAAGATAACCCAAATTTGACTTTAGGAAGTAAGACTTTGCGATTCACAGTACAATTTCAGCCATGCAGATGTTTCTTGCATTTCTTTCCTATTAAATATAGAACAGCGTACACTCACCCTAAATGCATAAGATAAATATTTACAATGTATCCTTTATTTTATATCACCAATCTCATATTTATTTACAGATTATTGCAGTCTATCATCAATGAGTCTTCAATTGAATTTTTTTATATAAGACATGCAATTGAAAAAGTGGCAAAAAATGAAGTTGGTCATCGGATAGCATGGAAATTTATAACAGACAATTGGGCAGATCTGTACAATAGGTATGGACGATTACTGAGATTTTGATATAATTGTATTTTAGTATGTGTTTCTTATCTTAATTTATTAAGTCAGAGAGCTATTTCTTTCCAATAACCTTGTTCACTGTGGACTATGCAGGGGCAAGACTTGCACTATCTGCAGTCCACCTGCACCACCCAAGGCCATTTTTGTGACTGCCAGAGTCCCCTAAAAATTGTCCTTATTTTTATACTGTTATTATTAATAGAGTAATCGGGGCTGGAATCCTATGGGGCAGTTATTAATGAATATTCTAGAGTTATGTACTTGTGATTAGTTCAAAGACTATGTAGGGATCACAAAAGTCCCCCATTTCCACTGACCAGGAAGAAGTCACTGCAATTGAAAGGGATCTGTTCCTCTGTCAATTGGGACCCGTCTTGCTGAGACTCAGCCTCAACAAAATGAGCAATCCCTGGCACAAGGGAGAATTATGACAGGGATCCTGCTTTTGCCTGTCACACCAGACATTGGTCACAGGATGGAATGGGGCTGTCAATCAGCTCCTTCCCAACAACAGGGGAATGAAGTCCTATTGGTCGCAGTGGCTGCTTCTCAGTCAATGTAATATATGTACCTTTGTCTTCTCTCAAGCTCAGAACATAATAGGGTTTTCTTAGGCCTGTTACAGACAGGTCTTTAAACTGCACCCAATCGGGTTTAAGAAACTCAATTGAGTGTGGGTTAAAGTCCATCCCCGCCCCCAAACCCACACTTTTTAGGGGGGTGTCCAGATTTCCTGCTGGATGTAGGCATGGCACCCAGAAAACAAAGAAATTTCCCCAGAAAAGCTTTAAAAATTAAAAATAACTTACCCAGCCACCACTACCCTGGTGCTAGAGCTTCCTGGTGCGTAGAAATGGCACTCCAGAAGAAGGGGGGCAGGAACAATTTTGCTCCTGGCCCCCCTTCTCCTGGCACATCATTTCTATGTTCTAGGAGAGCTCCGGCACCAGGGTAATGGCAGCCGGGTAAGTTATTTTTAATTTTAAGGGGTTTTTAAGCGGTTTGGAGGAGGGGGTTACAGTCCTCTGGGTTTTTCAGGCTGATTCAGCCCGGAAAACCCAAGAGGACTGTGCTGACTGCCCTCTCGGTAGTCCTAGGAAGACCTGGGTCTCATCCAGTAACTAATTACTTTGGGATAAAGCAGGTTTTACCTGCTTTGTCCTGAATTAATTCACCTTTACCTGAGGCATCATTTGGACTCCTCAGATAAAATCCAAGAGGGCTTGCGATTTGGGCCCTGTGTGGATTGGCCCTTAGGTACGGATTGCTCATAGGTGATTTGCTATTGCCATCCTGTAGCCCAGCACTCCTCAATGCTGACTATGCTAATGGAGAATTATTGGGGCTTACCGTACAGTAATGTAATGTACATGATGCCTACCTCTGAAGTGGCCGATTACAGAAGGGGGAAAGTTATCCCATTATTGGGATAGGGTGCTTTGTCAACCTTGTTTTACCCTCTCCATCATCTTGATGCAGCCAGGAATGTTGGCTTCCTGACCACTAAGGTAAATAATGGTCTTCACCAGGTTAGTGTGGACGTTGTCTCCCCCACGCAATTCTGAGGCAGCCAAGATCACTGTTTTCACACTGTAAGAGGATCGCTGAGAGAAGGAGCGGTCTTGATGAGAGAAAAATCAAATATCTTTTTAAAACCTATTTTAGCCCTTGAGCTTGTCTGTTGTCAGCAGATTGTGATCTTTGGCCTCTTTTCCTTATGAAAATGCATCCCTTGATCATCAAAAGGTTGTTTGCTATAACTTTGGATAATCCATATTAGCAGTTCCATCAGATTCCTACAAAATCATCATGAATAAGAACAGAGGGTGGAGAAAAAGTTGCATGCTATCACCGTTATATCAAAATATCTACTCCCTTAGGAATGTTCATAACACTTTCTATTACAGGAGTAGATCTGGAATACTACGTGATTTCATGGGGTCCGTCAGAACTGATGTAGAGGTGCAAATGGTAAGCAGAATAATTGAAACATAATAAATGGATATAACACAAAATGCTCTCTCTAAAGCAATGGTTCCCAATTTTTGGTCTTCTAGTGGTTTTGGACTTCAACTCCCAGAAATCCCAGCCAGCTCACCAGCTGTTAGGAATTGTGGGAGCTGATGCCCAAAACAACTGGAAGACCGAAGGTTGGGAACCACTGCTTTAAAGTGTGAAGAAAACAGAAATGTATTTTATATTTAAAATTGTATTGAATGGAAAATTACAAATGGGCCTGTAATGTGATTACATTATTTAAAACACGACTGCATCTCTGGTGCTTTTAATGGAAATCAGAATCAATGTTTTCCCAGATGGATGACTGAAATAGAAGGCAGGCTCCTGAGAGGAGTGGGACTTTAGGAGGGGAGATTTTCTTCCTAATTGGCTCTATTAGATCATGGTCAATTCTATGATTGGATGGTATTGCTTTTCTGCAGTGGCCCCTTTCACCTGTTCTTGTGTGATTCCTCAAAGATATTTTCACATAAAAAGTACCGCATATACTCAAGTATAAGCCAACCCGAATATAAGCCAAGACACCTAATTTTACCACCAATTTGACTTGAGCATAAGCCAAGGGTGGGAAATACAACAGCTACTGGTAAATTCCAAAATAAAAATAGACACTAATAAAATTACATTAATTGAGGCATCAGTAGGTTAAATGTTTTTTGAATATTTACATAAAACTGTAATTTAAGATAAAACTCTCCAACTCTGATTAAATCATTATTCTAACCTTTAGTGTAAATGTGCGTATGTATCATTCCAATAATCCCCATAGTTTATTTTAAATATACATTTTGGGGGAAATGCTGTATGTATATGAATAAGGAAAAGTAGGAAAGACTGGTGCCAAGAGAGGAGGAGGGGAAGACATACATTGTGCCAATAAAGGAAGAGAGGAAGGTGTGTGCTGCACAAGAGAGGAAGGAGAGCTGAGTTCTGTGCAGAGAGGTGAGGGTCCTGGCAGGAAGGCACAGGGCTGAAAGTAACCCTTATTTCAGCCCCACACCTTCCTGCCAGGACCCTCACCTGAGTATAAGCCAAGGGGAGCTTTTTTAGCCTAAAAAGGGCTGAAAAACTAGGCTTATAATCAAACATATACAGTAAGTGATATGGGCTTTGTAGGTTCCCAGGTTCTATGCTGTATCTTAACAGTTCTAAAAATGCATACAGAGAATTGCATAATAATTGAAAACTAATTATAGGTATTTATTATTTAAGATCCAAGGTTTTCTTAACAATACACTTGAGCCAGAACAAAGGATACAAGCAACTGAAATTGTGCTGCAAGCAAAATCTGCTATGGATAAAGCAAATGAATCATTGACTAAAATGATCAAGTGGCTAAAGGAGAATATGAATGGATGACATTTGAGAACATTTCCAAATATCTGTTTTGGCTTGGTTGTATCTTAATATTTTTAGAAGACTGACTTTTATTGTATTTGTAAAAAATTGAGAGAGAAAAATGGAGAGAAGTTGTCTCGTAATATGATGTCCAGAGAAAAGGAGCTTGCTCTGGTGACAAAAAGATTACATTTCAACCCACCCAGGACATTTTTGCATATCTTAGGGGATACTTCCTCTCTATGGAAATGCACTCTCAAAATCTGAGTGTAAACAAGGTCTGAGAATAACTGAATCTAAGAATATAAACAAAAGGAACAAAGAACATTACAGTTATCAGAAATGAAGAAGCAGATGCTAGAGCAAACCATCACTCTGCTTTGTGACTGGTGTGCTGTGCGATATCACATCCAGCACAACAGTTTTCCACATTCATTTTTCAGTGGAGATAATGATAGTCGAGCCATGTGTTCAGTTACAGTATTAATATATTGTAATCATTGCAGGCAGTGATCTGTTGATGCACAATGTTCATTATTTTTACTCTAGAGATTTTTCTACACCAACTCAACTGCATGTACATTTCTTTCATAAATATTCTCCAGATTTTTACTCTGCTGACTTTTTTCAAATCTAATAAGCAATGAAGTATAGCACTTGAATCATTAATGTTCAAGCAGCGTAGTGTTGCTTATGTAATATGAATGTATTTATTTGTATAAACATGACCAAAAACCCAACAACAAAAAATACCTTACAGAATGACTTTCAGTGCCTTTAACATCTCTTCCACATGGCTGGATTTAGGGTGCATCTACACAGTAGAATTAATGCACTATTGAAATCCACTGTATCACAGAAGGCAAAACTTTGTCATGTCTCATTGTGTTTATTGCTGCTTTGATATGATGGGCATCTGTAGATCAGGGCATCTAATACAACTACAACAAACTTACTGTCTGAGCACATATCCTTATGTAGCCAGAATGTAATTATCTATGCATACAAAACCACTAAGATTTCAACATATTGTTGGAATCCTATTTGTGTCAGATTTGAATGAAGTATCCTTGGTTGAAACCCCGAATAAAGCATTTCACATTTCCAACATTTTGTTGCAGGTCCTGCTTGTTGAACAAAAATGTATTAATTATGATGATTGTTAGCTGCACACTGCCCAGTTCTCTCTTTCAGAGTGGAGTTCAAAGAAAACATAATAGATCCTCTGTTTATCCTAAATTCAGAATAGTTTCTATGTTTGAAAAGCTTGTTTTACAGAAACCTCTCAAAGTATCCTCAAGATTACACTCAGTATGTATAATGATGGGAAGCAAACTATGCACCTCATCAAATCATTGTTAACATGTTGTACATTGGAATATATCCTATTGACATGGAGTAACACTGTACCTGACATTGAATCCTCAGACTGGAAAATGCCATTAAAATTCCATATGAAATCACCCTTCCTTTTCCCAGTTTATTTATTTTGGTTCTCAATGAATATTTTAATGAACTTGAAATGGGTAATTGGTAAAGGTTTACAAAAGCAATTTGAGAAATAAAATTCAAATGCTTGCATTAGTTATTTGGGCAATGGTTTTGGTGCAGATAGATAAATGGTGTTTTGCAGTTCCATCCGCATAGTAGTTTGAATTTCAGGGCATTCTATAGCATTATTTTTCTTTGCAAAACAACACTGAATAAAGCCTTTGTAATAAATCATAGAATCATAGAGTTGGAAGACACCTCGTGGGCCATCCAATCCACTCCTTGCCAAGAAGCAGGAAAATCGCATTCAAAGCACCCCATCCAGCATCTGTTTAAAAGCCCCCAAAGAAGGAGCCTCCATCACATTCCAGGGCAGAGAGTTCCACTGCTGAACAGCTCTCAAAGTCAGGAAGTTTTTCCTAATGTTCAGATGGCATCTCCTTTCATGTAGCAAATACTTGGCTTATAATTATTTGTTTTGAGTTTGTATGATTACAGGAGCAAACATGCAAGCAGTGTAAATTTCTGACTAAATGAATACTTTCTGCCCCCTCCCTCCTCATTTTCATACATTTGTTGGAATATTAAAAGAACAAGTATACAAATTTCAAATAATTATTATCTGGTCCATCTTCTGTTCTGGCCATTAAAATAGAATTGCAAAATGTGGAAATATGTGTTTTGGTACATATATACAGAAGTTAAAAACTAACTATCTTTGGATTGAGCACTGATGGATAGTTTTGGCTCACAAACCTCAAGAAATGCAACAGCTTTTATTTCTACAATGTGTTCCAATTTACATTATAGTGCAAAACTATGTTTACACTGATTCTAAAAGTTTTGTTGACTATAAGGTACCAAAGGAATAATAAACTTTTATTTCAAAACTGTTGTTCATGGTATTAAAATGTGCATTTTTCTAGGAGCACAGAATATTATTTTCACATTGTCTCCAGAATCCTTGATTAAAGGGTGTCTCAGGTGTGCTAATAATAGTAATTGGCACAATTACTACAATCCAGGGTCCACTGTGTCCAATTATGCTTGCAAGTAACAAACAAGCATCATTACTACTAAGAGACTGTTTGCAGGTATACAGACTGTTAGGTAATTTTGAGATCAGTTGAATTTATACAGCATGAAACTTCAAAAGGAATTCAGCTTCAGGTGGCTTCTTGCAGTTTGGCTCTTTCAGTAGTTAAGTTTTGTTAAAGAACCTATGGAAAGGAAGCTAACTTTCTTGAAAACTGTGATTTAGGTAAGTAATGTTTGGGTTATCCTTTGGTTGTTGTGATGATTACTTAAAATTCTGAAACCTTACATCTTTCCAAGCTATCAGACATTACAAAAAAAAAAAAAAAAACCAACTCCAAGATTTTTATCTCTGTCTGAAACTGTCATTATGTATTCTTGCAATCATGGTACTTAACACATTATTAATCCTTATTCATATGAACTACAACATGTTGCTTCTATGTATTCCTATAATAGGGAATGAAAAAAATAAATCAAGTGCTCAAGTAATAGGCTTCTTCCAACACAATGATTTTATTGATGTTTTAAAAAGTCATTGTGAAATTTATAAGAAACTAGAAACTGATTCAGAATACAGTAAGTTTTCCTGTTATTGTAGATGAGATTGGAATGAGCTTATGAAAATTATGGTCTAGGTCTAAACTTTTAAAGATGCATACAAGGAGACACATAGTGTCGTCTTCTGAATAATATGCTTAAATCTAGCTTGGTAAACTCATGAAAATACTAAAAGGTAGCATTGGTTTGTGCTTTTGTGTGTGAGCAGGACATTGTTTTTATGCTTGGTCTTTGGTTTCACTCTTTTGGGAATAGGATAGGGAGTGGTGTCAACTCACTCCAGCTGCAGTAATAGTGAAGCAGTATGCTTCGTATATCCATGATATATCACTTTGAAGTCAAGTTTAAAAGGGGAAAGGAGAGTTTGATATCTCCACCATTAAATGGCCTTTTATCGAGCAACTGGAGGATAGAAGAGCATTTTTTAACTGTGGGAGAAACTAAGGGTGAGCATATCGTAACTAGCATGTCATTGAGAAATTTCAGCTGTTAAAGATATCTATGAAGTATGGTTGATTCTTATTTCAAATACGAGCAGGCTTAATATAAAGTCCCAACTAGTATATTTATTCATCGTGTCAGAAGTGAATTGAGAATACCGTTATAATGTATAGAAAAACTACAAAGTTAAAAACTTGGCATTATGCTGAATGTCCTTTGACCAGAACCTGGCCATTTGGAGTGCCTCTGGTGTTGCTGTGAAAGGTCCTCCATTGTGCATGTGACAGGGCTCAGACTGCATTGTATTAAGTGGTCTGTGGTTTGGTCTTCTCCACACTCGCATGTCATGGACTCCACTTTGTTGCGCCACTTCTTAAGATTGGCTCTGCATCTCATGGTGCCAGAGCACAGCCTGTTCAGTGGCTTCCAGTTTGCCTAGTCTTCTGTGTGCTCAGGAGGGAGTTTCTCAACTGAATTCAGCCACTGGTTGAGGTTCTGGGTTTTAACCTGCCACTTTTGGACTCTTGGTTGCTGAGGTGTACCTGTGAGTGTCTCTGTAGATCGTATGAAGCTATTTCTTAATTGAAAGCATTGGCTTGCTGGTTCGCTGATATCCAAACAGAGGATGAACTGGAAATGTCAATGCCTTGGTCCTTTTATTATAGGCTGCTACTTCCCAACGGATGTCAGGTGGTGCTATTCTGGCCAAACAGTATAATTTCTCCAGTGGTGTGGGGCGTAGGCATCCTGTGATAATACAGCATGTCTCATTAAGAGCCACATCCTCTGTTTTAATGTGTTGAGATGTATTCCACACTGGGCATGCATACTTAGTGGCAGAGTAACAATGTGCAAGGACAAATGTCTTCATTGTGTCTGATTGCGATCCCCAGGTTGTGCCCGTCGGATTTTGTATGATATTTTTTCTAGCACCCACTTTGATATTCAAGCAGTGCTTCTTTTAAGTCAAAGTATGGTCCAGGGTAACTCCCAGGTATTTGGGTGTGGTGCAATGCTCCAGTGGGATTCCTTCCCAGGTGATCCTCAGAGCTCAAGATGCTTGTCTTGTTCTTAAGATGAAAAGCACACATCTGTGTTTTCGATGGATTAGGAATCAGATGGTTTCCCCTGTAATAGGCAGTAAGAGCATCTGAACATGCAGGAATGATGATGATTATGTTTTTATTTATTACCTGCTGCTTCTTGCGGCTTCAGCTACTATCATCATAAAATTCCATTAAAAGTACACATTAAAACATATTTCTATAAAATACACATGTTAAAATAATGGAACAAAAATAAAATAAAATAATAATAAATAAAATAAAAAATAAAGAATGTGAGTTTATGTGAATAAGTTGAACTGATGTGGTGAACAAGCATCTCAAGAATTATAAGATATAGGAAATGAAATAATACTGAAACCAGATTAATCCTTTTTACAATGAAGCGATAAATATTTCAAATGCTTCCTTCCACTCTGCATGTGCTACATTGTTAATTCGCTGAAGAAAGAGAACAGCAGGGTTTCATTTAATTACCACCTGATGAAACATTGTGCTTCCCATACACCATGAAGCCACGAAAATGCCAGAAATGCCTTTGAACATACAGTGGAGTTGAGCTGTTATGTGCTAATTTTAGTTTATGTGTTTCCATTTAAAAGTATGCTGCGAGTGGTTAGGAAGATAACTGAAGACTGCTAGGTGTTTTGAGTTTTCCAGAACAATTTGTATGTTTCATCTTCAGTTGCGATCATGCCAGGACTATGATGAAGACAGCAGAAATAGTTGTGATGTCCACTTTTCTCACTGGCTTTATCTTAACTTATTCTTCAGAAAGATATTTGAGTTCACCAGTAACATATTACTTGTCCTTTGTTCTTGTACTCCAGAGGAGTAAAACATGAAAAATATGTCTACAATATATTCAATGTTTGTGGGTGAAGTTGG